AGGAACAGGGCACCAAAAGATGAGTGAAAGCTTCCAATGTGGAGGTGGGACTTGTTGACTTTTGTGGGGAGAACACCAGTGTGAAGTATGGAAGATCTTTCTAAAGTAGGACACGGGGCCCAGAAGTCATGAAAGATGGACAAATTTGACGTATATAATTTATTCCCCTAAAGCCTCTGTTTAGGGAAACTAATATCAAAAGACAAATGTATACTTGCAGTGGGAGGAAATCAATAACAAAAAGATGGCCCAAAAAGGGTAACAGATGTGAAGAGACCATTCGTCCAAAAAAAGAAGTATATGTAAAGTTTTAAAGTACATATTTTGGCAAGCATGTGGAGAAACGGGAATGTATACTGAAGATGGGAATAAATTTGGTATGTTTTTGGAGAGTGAATTAGCAGTAACTATCAAGGCATAAAGTACATGACCCAGAAATTGTTCTGCGAGGAGTTTACAAATAGTTTTGGAATTACGGCAAAGTACACGCACACAGATATTTCATATAGCATTATTAATCCTATAGTAAACTTGGGGAGACAACTTGGACGCCTGTCAACAGGAAGTTGGTTAAGTAAGTCAAAACAGAAGAGAATGTGCAACATTTGTGTAAAAACTTTTAAAATCATGTGTCTGTGATTATTTGACTCATTCCCCCCCCTCCCCGGCAGTATGTATAAGAAATTCAATAGTGCAGGCGGTAAGGAAAGGGAGTTGTAGTAGAAGGGAGGAAGACTTCTGTCTTTCATTCTGAAACTTACTGTAGAACTTGAAATGTACATATTACTTATTTTAGAAAATATTTAAGTAAAAGGTAAAATGGTAGGTTACTACGGTATTTACTATGCCTTGTCTTTCCTCGGATAGAGCTTGAGGGTTTGTTCAGATTAAGTATGGGATAATAAATACGTGGAAGAGTGTTACTATAAAAACCCCAAACACCTTTCATCTTTTACTAATATTTGCATTTCACCTCATAATTTATAGAGTACTTTTCTCTGTTATCTTATTTGATCCTCAGAATGGCCCTTGTGAGGTACACACTGTTTTAAAGGATAAGAAAATTGAGACTGTTGGAGATAGGGCACACTAAACACTTGGTGAGCTGGACAAAGGGGACTCCGTTGCATCTGTCGTAGTTTCTCACAGGCCCTGAAGTCAAGGCTGGATGACCCCTTTCTAATGTGAAGTGTGGAAAGTCTGAGGAAATGAAGAAATGACACTTGGGGGGACAAACACTGAGTTGAGATTTCTTTTTTGGTTCTGGTTAATGCGAGTATTTCTAGTTTCTCCCCTGCCCACAAGCACTTCCATTTCCTCTCTTGGTGAAGGCAGTTTCTGGCTTTTGTTTGGAAACTTCCTAACCTCCTATTTCACTTCAGCTTACACATTTTTGATTGTTTTTTAAAAAGTTTCTCTTAAACTGAGCAGGCTGTCATACTCTCGCAGTAAATTTTACTTGGAGCTTTTGGTTACATGTGTTGTAATGGAGATTATTATTGACTTCTATTAACAAAATACTAGAGATCTTACATTTATAAGATGTGTACATAATCTTAAAAAAAAAAAAACCTCACCCGGGGACATGTTTATTGATTTTTAGAGAGGAACGAGGAAAGAGAAACATTGGTTTCCTCCCGTAGGTTCCCTGACTGGGGACTGAACTTACAACCTAGGCATATGCCCTGACCAGGGATTGAACCGTCAACATTTTGGTGTATGGGGTGATGCTCCAACCAACTGAACCACTTGGCCAGGGCATATGTATGTACTCTTTTATATATTTTAGGTGCTGTGATGTACAGCCCTGCCAATATAGATGCTTTTTGAGTAGATGTATTTATCCACAAACTTTGCAGTATTTGCTTACAGATTATTTAACGTGATTTAGTGGACATATTGTTAAATTTTCAAGCAGGGACTTTTTGCATTGGGTTTTTGCTCCCATTTTCTCTTTACCATGTGGGCCAGATTAAAGCCTACTAACATAGACCAGCAGATGAGCTGCTGCCAACAGATGGGGAGGACAGCTGTGATGTTCCATTTAGATGACTAAAACATTAAATCTCAAAAAAGGCTACAGTGGCAAGGCTTGGAGTAAAAAAGTACTTTCTGTAATTTGAGCTGTAACCGTGCAAGTTATTCTCACTCTGTGCTATTATTTCTAGGGTAATGACAGCCGCGTCTATGGTGTCACCTAACCTATATACACAGATGACTCAACAGTTTTCAAATTATTCCTCTATTCCTTCTCCCCTGCCATAGCTCCCAGTGTGACTACCAGATGTGGATTTCCAGTTGTTATTGGAAACTTTTAGCAGCGTGACCCATAAGTACAATACTTCTAGTTCAATAGGTCCATAGGCAAACTCGTCTTTCCTCCGAAATCTAATACTCTTTCTGTTTTCTTGGGCTGTTTCCATTGGCCATCAAAGCTTGAAACTTTAGTGCCATCCTTGACTTCCCTTTGTTACTTTGTATATCCAATCAGTCACAAATTTGTTTATTCAGCTTGTGAAATGTCTCATGTCTATTCTTGCTGTGGATAGTGCATTTTAGATCCCTTATTTTTCTCACATGCTTTCATTTATTCATCCAACCAATTCTTATTGATTGCTTATTATGTGCCAGGGATAGTGTGAGAATATGCCTCACTATGGCCCATTCATCAAAGGTTGAATAAGGTCTCACCACTTTTTAAATAGAATACAGGGATAATAGTTAATATTGTATCATGAACAATGTGTTTATGCTATTTAATCATCACTACAGCTCTTGGAAGTAGATGAGGAAACAGGTACAGAGATGTGAGGTGCGTGCAAACCATGGTAGTACGAGACTGTGCTGGCTCACATTCTACCTTAAACAAGGTGTCAAGAAGTGGAGCCATCCCTTTATAGTATGCAGAGAAATAAGAAAAGAGGGGACTGGACCAAATATAAATTAAATAGTTTAGGGAAGGCAACTTTAAAACACTTGCAAAGAAATCTGAGAGCAGAACCATACAAACTTACGGGTTTTTTTTCCTGTTGTCTTAGACGCTGCTAATATGCATCGCCTTTTAGTAACTGGTCTTAACTGAATCTGAAGCGTATGAAGTTTTCATGGGAGCATAAAAATGAGAGCTGAAAGTGTTTCTGCATTTGGTATCTAGGGGATCAGTGTTGATTTTTGCTTGGCAGTTTCAGTGGGCAGAAACCTGGGGATAGCTTATTGAAACATGAATAGGAAATAGGGAGGCAGAGACAATAAATGAAAAATTCTTTGGAATGAAAAGTGAAAAAGAATGAACAATAATCACAAAGCATTACTTAAAGATTTTTTTTTAATGGAAAAGTTTTTACACAGGTTGAATCAGTGGATGAAAAAGTTTTACAAATTGTCAACAGTGAGCATGTAGTAATACCCAAATGTAATGAAAAATATGTAGGTGAGGAGAGAGATTTATGGAGCAAGGTCCCAGAGGACATGGGAGAAGACTGGGTTCAGATCCGAGGCAAGGAAATTCATTTGTGTTTGAGTTGAGCCTGATAGCTTCACTCATCTTTTCAGGGCTCTGTGAGGAGTGGAAGGTGGTGCCGATCACAGACAAGGAACGGGGTTGTTGAGCGGAAGAAAACGTATTTGTAGTCGTGTTATTTTGTGCAGTGGCTCAAGGTTAGACCTGAGAAATGGATTTAGTTTAATAGCCAAGAATGATGTGTAGTCAAATGAATAGGCCAAGGAGAACTGCAGAAGTGATTGAGTTGGGAAGCAGGTGAGAGAGCGCGAGAGCGCGCTCCCTCGCAGAGGAAGAATAGGTCCTAACTTGCATAGTGTTTTGGAATTAAAATTTCAGAAGTCAGGGAGTTTTAGATAATTATCGTGAGGTGCGAGAGAGTGGGTTAATGAAGTGGAGATGAAAGGCACTGTTTTCTATGTTCTGGAGTGCTAAGCAGTTTGGATTTTATATTGAAATTGATGGGAATCATTAAGGAAGATACATGACACTGAAGGCAGTGTGGAGAATGGGTTACAGAGGGGCATAAGGAAGCAATCACACCCTGGTATTGCCAGGCACGCTTGCACCCGAGTGAGGGGCGCTGCCCCATTTGGAGCCTGCAGAGGGGAGAGCTTTCAGGCAGGCAGGCAGGTTTCCTGCCATGTATATATATATATTCTCTCTCGATAGAACCCAGTTAATTGAACGAATCTATCTTCTCAGATATATTTTGCCCACAAAATGTAACCAGAACTCTCCTTTTTGGTTAACCTCAGGAAAAACTAGCTCCTTAATATTTTTAGGCCACCGAAGTTGTGGGGCCAGATATGGCCATAGTGGGCCTTTCACTACTTTTCTGAGGACTGGAAATTTCTCAGAAAACTCAGGCATGTAGTTAGTGTGTCTGATCTATTTCCAGAATTACTTTGTAAATATTTTACCATTTTACATTTGTCTCTTCTATCAGGTTGTGAATTCCTTCCTAGTAACCCGCATCAAAGTCTTGCCCTTTCAATGGGGTGCCTAAACATTTCGATACTCTTTAAAAAATATGTCGAATCAACGTTCAGTGAATGAATGATCTCTCCCACCGACCCCGTGGGGACCCTGCCCTGCTGTGGCCTAGAGGATCTCAGGGCTCCAACCAATGCTGTGAACCCACTCAGCTGTGGTGCGCGCCCAGTCTGGACTCACGAAAACTGCCAGCTGTCCATATACGGTCACCGTGGAAGCAGGGGAAAGACACCGGGCCCTCGGTCTGGAACAGGGGGAGGCGGGGCGCTGCTTTCCGCGCAGCACGGCGGCCGCCCGCCGGGCCGCGCGTTCGGGCCCGGAGCACCGCCGCACGCCGGCCGCCGGGGGGAGCCCGCCCGCGCCTCCGCCCGGGGAAGAGGCCGCCGTAAAGGAAGCGCCGCTTCCTCTCCCCCCGCCTCCCACCGGCTGTCGTAAAAGGGTGAATGGAGAGCGCGTTGTGGGGGGTGGACAGGGCGGACAGGGGGCGCGGAGTCGGAGTGGCGCAGCAAGTGGCTGCAGGTGGCGACGGTGGCGGGGGGTGGGGCGTGAGGTAGTCCCGGGGCCGCGGAGGGAAGGGCTGAGCGGCTCGAAGGGAAACTAGCGCTGCAGTCTGGCCTACTGGTCCGGGGGCCGCGGAGCCCCCGCCGGCGAGATGGACCTCAACCGGATCATCCAGGCGCTGAAGGGCACCATCGACCCGAAGCTGCGGATCGCAGCTGAGAACGAGCTCAACCAGGTGAGGCCCGGGCCTGCCGCGCCCCTCGCCGCCGGCTCCGCTGCTCTGCCCCCCGGCGCCCGATGTCCGCCCCCCACCCGGGGCTCCCACGGCTGGGCGCCCGCCCCCGCCCCAGGGCGCTGTGCAGCCGCGCTCTGGGGACCGCGTCCGAGCGGCCCCGGCACCTGTTGGCTACTTTCGCATCTTTTCTTGGGTTCCTTCCCCGTGCAGTTTGTTCAGCCCGCGGGGTCCGCAGAAAGAAGCTTTAGCAACCCTTGCTGGTGTTTCCAGGGTGTGATTTAAGCGCGCTGACTTGGGGACGCGGCTGGGAAAATTCACTTAAATTTCAAATCCGAGTTGGGCTTTTCTCCAGACACAGCCCTTTTTAGGTGTTGCTGTGGGAAACCTTGCCCAGCGCCCCGCTGCTTGTGGGGTTCGCAGCACTGTTCTGACACTGATTGGCGGAGTTTTGTGTGCGAGCTGGGAAGTGCTGCCAGGAGAGAGCTCTAGGAAGAGGAGGCGATTTTCGTGGTGGTGTAGCCTTACAAAAGGCACGTGCAAAAGACGTGGTTGGAGGGATTTCTGAAAAAATGCTAAAATGTATAGGCTCTTTTATCCTCCATCCTCTAAGTAACTCATCTGCACCTTGTTTCCGTGTCACCGCCTAATTTTCGAAATTTTGGTGAGCCCAAACTCTAGCTTATGTTTTCCTCTAAACCTGTAAGAATGAATCAGACCTCTCACTGAGAAGTATGAGTTAAGGTCTACTCCCAAGATAGAATGACAACTGTTTGAGGTTGCGGTAGTCCTTAAAATATAAAGGAATATTCCTAAATTAGTGGTTTTCAAAATGCTGTTTAGGATGAACAGTGTCAACGTCACCTGGGAATTTGTTGGAAATGCAAATGTTAGGGCTTCACTCTAGACTTAAAGAATCAGAGAGTCGGGAGGGAACCTAATTTTGTTTTAATTAGCTAGCTAGGTGATTCTGTGCTTTCCTAAAGCGTGAGAACGACTGTCCTAAGTAAATGTTTCTGTAGGAGCTCGCTAAGGTTTTCCCTGGCTGGAGCTGACTTAACAGTGCAGGTGCACTGCGAATCTTTGAAATGAATTGCTTTAATGGGAAATCTGGGTGGAGTTTGGAGTGAGTGTGAATCTAGGATTTTCCACAGATAAAAGGGAGAGTAAATAAAACATTGATTCTGTAGAGAAGGTTGAGTTGAACAGGTAGCCTAAAGGGAAAGTATTTCTTCTCAAAAAGAAAAGGACTCTCACTGAGAATAGTGGAAAGTTAAAGTCAGTACTTGTCCCAGGCTCTGCAGAGTAGAAGTACTATATATTGATTGGCTAGAAAAATAGTAATCCAGGGATCGGTTAGGAGGAGCAAAGCAAGAATTGGACTTGCAGTCTACTAGTGTAAACAGAAGAGTTTGGCCTCTTTGTGACCTTCTTCTTCTTACAGTGAGGCCAGATGTTACTTTAATAGTGTCCATAGGGATCAAATCTTTGATATTATGATGTACTTCCCTGCTTCTGTTAGCATACCTTTGCTTTGTTTCTGATTCATCAGTACATAGGTGCAGTGGACGTTACAGAACTTGGGAAGGTAGGTGGGTGATCCTGTAGAGCTAGAAGTGAAACTTAGAACCCAGTTCTATTTTTTTCATGATGTTTCAGTTCAAATTCATTCCATCCTCACTCTGCCTTTCCCCGTATTCACCCAAGTCATCACAGACCACAATTTCCTCTGTTACTTCTAAAAGCTTATTACAATGTCACGTTTTAGCATTTATATTTTGTATAATGCTTTGGATTGTAATATGCCTTAAGTACTTTTTTTGAATTGTCTATAGGTAGAAGGCTAAATTATGTCATAATTTACATAAAACAGTAAAACATGGTTATAATGTTGGGTTTTGTGTACTTATCCTTTACCATTTTGCTCTGTTGGATAAACGGGAAATTTGCCATAAGTGATTAGGGACCAGCTCAGTTATTGTAGCTCAGTCTGGGTTGCCCCCTCAGCAAATACGCTCTGCATAGGAAGTGGGCTCATCATGTATAAAGTACTGATTGGTTTGTCAGTTGCCATTTAGAAGAGGAAAGCAGCTTCAAAATATAATAGCCTGAATTCCACAGGATAAATTCTTATTTGGACATACATTTTTCTGTGGCCAACAAAGTATTTCTGTTACCAGTGACTGGTTCCTTGCCTGCTATTTGTGATATTGTTTGTATCGAAAAATGCATTTCCATTTTTATCTCAGAAAATTAAGAATGCTTCCTGTATATATTCTTCACCATCTCTAGACCCAGAAAACCCTGTAGTAGCAGCACAGAGAAGTAGGAATGGGTAGATGTCTTGCTCCAGTAACTCACCTAGAAAAGTATTTTCTTTTAATAAATAATTCTCCACATGGCCTAAGTAAGGAAATAAAATACGTGCCTTTATTGCCAAGCTTTTATTTCTGCTTTTCCATGCATCTGTGGTATCATTTTTATTGCCCTTTAAGGAGTTTGCTTATATGAATAACATATTTATTGAGTTATATTAAAGATACTAGTACAAGACTCTGCTCTTGTATAACTTGCATTCCAGTGGGGGATACTGACAAGTAAATAATATAGCTTTAGGTCATAAGTGTTACACTGAGAGTAAAGCCCTAGAGTGTGTTGGGTTGTATAATTAGTGTGGTCGTTCTCTGAAGAATGACATTAAGCAGAGATCTAGATGTTAAAATGAGCAAGTGAAGAACTGGGAGGGGAGCAGAGGGAAGGGCAGGCTCAGTAGAGGCCCTCAACTTGGCCTGTCGGAGGACTGGGAAAGTTAACACAGTGGGTGCAGTGAGGCCGAGAAGGGGAAAACCTAGGTTCTTTGCTTTAAATGGGTTCTCATAAAACATAGTATTTAGCTAAGCAAGTAAACTCTTTATTTTCCGAAAACTTCAAAATGTCTTTTTTCACCCTTAGACATTTGATGCCTAAAGGTAGAAAAGGAAATTGGATAAATGAGGAAAATAGTATGAGAGTACATCTTAATTTACCACCGAATGTTTTAACTGGCCAAGTTAACATAGACTGAATCAAGACTGAAAGGAAATGACAAAAATTGCAGAAGTTCTTTGAAATGCAAACAGTTGCAAAAGAAAAGTTTCAAAATGTGTAAAATGGCAACAATGTTGAAATAAAAGTAGTCTCCACAATAACTATTTTCAAATAAGTAGCATTAATCTAAGTATAAAGATTATTTTGTACTTATATGTAATAAGATTTTTAAATAAATACTAAACTATATAGATTAGAACTAAGCTATAGAGATATTTACTCACTATAAGATCTTTGAGTACCTCAAAAGTTATAGGCTCAAGTTATTTTATAATGTAAATGTAGGGGTATAGAAGAGTGGGCTAAATCTGTATTAATTTTGACTCCTGTAAATTGCTGTTAAAAGAAATGTTTTCTTTAAAACTACTTTAAAATTCTGGTGGTTTCAATTACGGATAAAACAGAATTTATTTTCTATGCAACAGATTTAAGATTCTGAAGTTTATATAGGATGAAAGAAAGAACAATTATAAGATGATTTAAATTTTTACTGAAGAATACAGAAAGGTTTGGAAAGCATAATATTTTTAGATGGAAATGATCAATATTTAGAAGATACCAGTTTTCTCCAAATTTTTTAGTCAAATACTTATCTTAATAAGTGCTATTATAAATAAATGGATATGTTCTTGGGAGACAGTAATATGAATGGACTCTGCATCATTTGTCCAGCTTTATTTTCTTTTCAAAGTATATTTTATTGATCATGCTATTACAATTTTCCCATTTTTTTCTCCCCTTTATTCTCCTCCACCCTGCACCCCCCCCCAACCAGTATTTTCCCCTGCCTTAGTTCATGTCCATGGTTGTACATATAAATTTTTTGGCTTTTCCATTTCCAATACTGTTCTTAACCTCCTGCTGTCTGTTTTGTGCCTACCATTTGTGCTTATTTACTGTACCTTTCCCCCCTTTTTCCCCTCCCCCTCCTGGCTAATGTGATCTCCATTTGTGGGATTCTGTTCCTGTTCTAGGTGTTTGCTTAGGGTTTTTTTTTTTAGGTTCAGTTGTTGATGGTTGTGAATTTGTTGTCATTTTACTGTTCATATTTTTAATCTTCTTTTTCTTAGTAAGTCCCTTTAACATTTCATATAAGGGCTTGGTGATGATGAACTCCTTTAATTTGACCTTATCTCAGAAGCACTTTACGTGCCCTACATTCTAAATCATAGCTTTACTGGATGGAGTAATCTTGGATGTAGGTCCTTGCCCTTCATGACTTTGAATACTTCTTTCCAGTCCCTTCTTGCCTGCAAGGTTTCTTTTGAGAAATCAGCTGACAGTCTTATCACGGGAACTTTTTTGTAGGTCACTGTGTCCTTTTCTCTGGCCACTTTTAAGATTCTCTCCTTATCTTTAATCTTGGGTGATGTAATTTTGATGTATGTACTTCCTTAGGTCTAACTTCTTTGGGACTCTCTGGCCTTCCTGGATTTCCTGGAAGTTTATTTCTTTTGCTAGATTGGGGAAGTTCTCCTTCATTATGTTTTCAAATAAGTTTTCAGTTTCTTATTCTTCCTCTTCTCCCTTTGGCACCCCTATGATTCAGATGTTGGAATGTTTAAAGTTGTCCTAGAGGTTCCTAAGCATCTACTTGTTTTTTTTTTTGAATTCTTGTTTCTTCATTCTGTCTGGTTGGATGTTTATTTCTTTCTTCTGTTCCAAAATTATTGATTTGAGTCCCAGTTTCCTTCCCTTCGCTGTTGGTTCTTTGTACATTTCCTTTATTTCACTTTGCATAGCCTTCATTTCTTCTGTTTTGCGACCATACTCAACCATTTCTGTGAGCATCCTGATTACCAGTGTTTTGAACCATGCATCAGATAGGTTGGCTTTCTCCTTGTTGCTTAGTTGTTTTTCTGGACTTTTGAACTGTTCTTTCACTTAGGCCATATTTCTTTGGGCACACCTGTTACACTGAAAGGGGTGGAACCTTAGCTATTTGCCCTGGAATGGCATTATGGCACTGTATGTGGGGGAGGGGTCTGGGAGGCGACAATGCCACTTGCTCAGGTCTCAGCTGGCTTTCAGTCACTTCCCCTTCAGCCCACAAGCAAATTGGGCCCTTCTGGTGCTGATTCCTGGGTGGGTGGTTTTGTGTGTGTTTTAGGACCTTGTGGGTTTCTCCAATGAACTCTCCTGTGAGGCTGGGAGTTTCTCTTGCTGCCACAACCTCCACAGGTTTTTACAGCCAGAGGTTTTGAGGCTTTCTTTTCCCTTGCTGGAAGCCTGGGTTGTTCGGCTTGTCTTGCTCCCCAGTTCCTTCTGGTTTATTTGCACGTAAATGTGGGATTGCCCACTCTTCCAGCTGCCACCTTGCTGTAGGTCCTCTCTACCCCAGCTGCCCGTCTCTGCCCCTCCTACCAGTCTGGATGAATGTTTCTTCTTTAATTTCTTGGTTGTCAGACTTCTGTATGGTTCAGTTTTTTGGCAGTTTTGGTTGTTTTTGTTTTTAAATTTGTCGTTTTCCTTCTTTAAGTTGTACAAGGAGGCCAAGTATATCTACCTATGCCTCCATCTTGGCTGGAAGTCTCCATTTGTCCAGCTTTAACCTTACTGAGAATTTATGAGTCTTTTCTGGGAATGTCAGAGGGAAAGGCCAAGTACAAGCTCTGGGAATGTGGCAGGGTTGTAATATAGTCTGGGTAACAGACATCCGGTGGAAATACTGTCAGAAAGAATGGGGTTGCTCTATATTTTTTTGTGCTTCCAAAGTCACCCTGGCCCAAACTCAAGAGTAAGTCAAAGTAGAACATGCCTGTGGCCTGAAATGACCCAGGCAGCAGGCACTTCACCAGTACAGGCTCAGTGGGGCATTGTTAAGTTTGAAAGATGCTCCAGCACCGGAGGGCCCCCTGTTGGCAGCTCTTTTAGGCACGGGGTTCCAGTCCCTCTGTGCAGTGCACGCACAGCTGTCTAATGTTATCTTGTCCGCTTTTTTCTGTGTTGGAGCTTCTGTTTTCTGTAGCTTCTGTTTTTCTGTTTATGGTTCATCAAAAATAAACAAAATTGAAGCACAAATAAGCTGGGAAGAAATGCTTGCAATGTATAGGTCATATAAAAAGTTGAGATTGTAAATCATAAATAGCTCTAAGAATTTATTAAGACTAAAACAGATATTTCATTTATAGAAGGATAAAGAGAATAAAGAGTTTGTAGAAAAACAAATAGTCAACAAACAGGAAAAATTCAACATAGAGGAAATGCAATTTAAAATATGAGTAAGGTTTTAAAATTTTTGAAGGAATGATATCTCTATATTGGATAGATGGACACACTCTTATGCTCCTGTTGTACTGTAAGTTGTCACGTCCTTTATGGAGAGTATTTTGACCATATATGTAAAAACAAACAAAATATTCATACTCTTTTATTCATCAATTCTAAGTAAAACTTTTTTTGACTTGAAGTATTTTAATAATCTTTATTTTGGAGAGTTTCTCTCACTTTAAAAGTTTTATTTGCAGTAGTATATGTAGTAACAAGTGCGAATAGTTACTCATTTATCTTGCCCTATTTTAAAAAATATTTCTTTGTAATTTCAGTCCTACAAGATCATCAATTTTGCCCCCAGTTTGCTTCGGATTATAGTCTCTGACCATGTGGAGTTCCCAGTTCGCCAGGCAGGTGGGTTGGTTTTTTACCCTTTTTTAATTTATTTATGGTGAAAGTAAAAATAGACTTTTATTTTAATTCTAAATATCTGTAATTTCTTGGAAAAATAGGAAATGCACAACAAGTATTTGTATTTCTAATGGTTTATAAAAATCACTTCCTGCCTTGGCCAGGTGGCTTGGTTGGAGTTTTGTCCCCGTGCACGCAGAGGTTATGGGTTTGATCCTGGTCAGTGTGTATGGGAGGCAGCTGATTGATGTTTTTCCTGCAGACTGATGTTTCTCTCTACCTCTCCCCATCCCCTCTCTAAAACCAATAAACGGACACATGGACAAAGCCAAGGGGGAGGGTAGAAGCAAGGGAGGGAGGTGGGTTTGGCTGGGGTGGGGGCAAGTGGTGAGGGAAAAATGAAGACACCTGTAATTAAAAAAAAAAAGAAAATCAATAAACATATCCTCTAGCAAGGATTAAAAATGGATAACAATAAAAAATAAACATTTATTTAAAAAATACAACTTTCCTTTTCTCTGGGAACTTAGGGGCAGATACTGAGCTCTTCAATCTCCCCTAGCCTTTTCCTTCCTTCCCACCCTCCACTGCCAGTTCCTTGCCTCTGTAACTTTGCCATTTCCCCCTTATTTTTCCTAATTATAATAGCTTCATCTCCTCCTCCTTTCTTTTTTATGGTTTCTGGTGGCCTCCCCTTCCAGCCCGCAGTTTAACGCCGTGCATTCGTGTTTGTGCATTTGAGCTCCATTTGTGCATCAGATCATGGAGCCAGTGCAGTGTGCAGGTCTTCCTGACCATGCGACTGGGGAACAGGGCTTTTCTGAAGGTTTTACTTACTTATTTTTAGACAGAGGGGAAGGGAAGGAGAAGACAGGGAGAGAAATATTAATGTGTGGTTGCTTCTCGCACGCCTCTCACTGGGGACCTGGCCCATAACCCAGGCACGTGCCCTGACTGGGAATGGAATCCTCGTCCCTTTGGCTCACAGGCCGGCACTCAGCCTCCTGAGCCTTTTACTTTAAACATGAAAGTTACCTTTAAGTCTGTGGGACCTACGGTAGTTCCATGGTATGTGGTTTTTTAAAAAATTAGGTTGTCATTAGAACCCAAAAGGTCAAAAAATGGAGAAAGCAGCCTTGGAGTATTGTGAAGCCTAAAAAGATAGTAACTTCAAGGTAAAGGGGGTAAAATAATAATAACTAAATAAAGAAATAGTTAAAAAGGCTCTTTAAAAATTATGTAGGTGGCATATACTCATTGTGATTAATTTGGGCAATATAGGAGAATACCAAGGAGAAATAAAAAAAATTACTCCACAGTCATCTCTCAAAGGACCATCATTAAGACGTGTGTGTGTTGTTTGGGCAGAGGGGTTGGTGAGCAGTTTTACAGAAATGGGGTTGTACTCGACATGCTGATGGAAGTATTTAATTTCACTTGAAATAACAGATAAAAAAGTAAGGAATCATTATACTTTGAGGAAATATTTATAACAACTTGTATGATTTCCTGAGAGATCCCTTTGTAATTAAGAAAAACCTATAAAAAGACACTCATATTGGAATTATTTTTTACTTTAATAAGGTTTGTAATACTTCTCTAAGTTTGTTTTTGAAACCACTGCTCTCAGTTTTGTTTAACCTTTGTTTTATAAAATAGGCTGTTCGGAAACCACATTTTGTTAAATGAAATCTGTTTTAATAACCTAAGTATTTATAGGGCCATTGTGAAGTTTCGTTGGAAGCTTTTTAGAAGTAGTATTTTTAAAGATCTTAAAGCAATTTATTAAACTAATATTTCCTCTTTATGGCATATAAACATTACAAAAACACAGACTTTACAGATTAGATTGCTGTTAATCCTGCCCTGAAAGATAGCTGCCATCAACTGTGTTGCATGGTTTAACAGTTCTTTTCTTTCTTCTAGATATGCCAGCAGGCTTCAGAGAGTTACGGAGATCTGTTTACATTACACATCCGATTTTATAATTTCCTTTTTCTGATTCAACCTTGTACTTTTGGGAGATTGATCTATGTTAGTGCATATGCATATGCTTTACAACAGTTGTTCAGCATTTCTTTGTACATGACTCTCATAGTTTATTTAAACAATTTGATATTAATGGACATTTCCTGTATTGTCCCTTTTCATTGTTGTTATAGAGACAGTGCTAAAATGAGCAGCATGCTTGCACGTAATATCTCTGGATACTAGTGGGAAAATTTTTATAGAATAAATTATGAGAGATGGAAATGCTAGGTCAATGCCTATTAATGATGTTAACGTTCAGAACTTTGAATTTTATCACCAAATTACTTTTGCTTGCATTTTCTATCAACAGTGCATTAAAATGCCAGATTACTGATAAGATCATAAAACCATTATAATCCCTATAGAATTTGTCTTGAAAATAAAAAATAACCTTCAGACAACAATGATACACACATGGTAAAATCATGGGCTTACTTATAATTCAGCCATTAAATGCTGTTAATTTTATATCGAAAAAATATTTGCATTAATAGGGCATCATTTGAGATGGCCTATATAAAATAAAAGGCATACTGTGAGATTTATGGTGGTAAGATTTTCCATTTTTGCTGGCTGTCCTATTTAACATTGAAGGGATTAGCCTTTCATGCCCTGTAAAGCTGAATGAAAGTCATCTTTTTGTTGCTGCTACATTAGCGTTTTTTTCTCTAACGTAGCTGCCATTTACTTGAAGAATATGGTGACACAGTACTGGCCAGACCGAGAACCTCCACTGGGAGAAGCAGTATTTCCATTCAACATTCATGAAAATGATCGCCAGCAAATACGTGATAACATTGTGGAAGGAATAATTCGGTCTCCGGATTTAGTGAGGTACTTTGTACTATATCTGTATGATTAGTAGGGGAAAACACAGAAGCGTATATGTATGTGGGAGGTTGGATGTAATCATCAGCCTCAAATTTCGTTGGTAAGCTAATGAAGACAGGCACTCAAAGAATATTCTTTCACTTATTTGTCCTTATGTTTGAAATCCTTTGCAATATTTTTGGAAAGATTTAGCTGCTTTAAGTTGCCACGAAAAAGAGGTAAGGCAAAAACTGTACTTGACTAAAATGGTTGTGTCAGTCCCACTATGTAAATAACTTACGTCCTTAGTTATGCTCTCTGGACTTTTTCCTGTCTGCTTTTCTTTTTCCTAACTTGGGAAGTTGACTTTTGGAAGTTTTTAACCTACCACTTTTGTTAACACTTAGCCTATCTTCTCATTAATTTCTGTGAACCGAGTATCTTTTCCTTTAGAGCAGATAGGATAGAGTAGGTAGAAACTGGAAGAATAGTCTGTGGTTTTTTGCATTTGCCTTAGGCCATGTCCAAGAGAACTTTGTGTGGTGATGGAAATCTTTACCCACACTGTCTGGTATTTAGGCATGTGTGGTATTGAGTGCTTGAAATGTGGCCAGTGTAACTGAGGAGCTGAATTTTAACTTAATTTTGATAAATTTGAAGTGCACAGGTAGCGAGCTAGGGGCTGCCCCTAGCTATTGGACAGCACAGCTGTAGAGTCATACAAATTTTGCAGTCTTAAGAGAGGAGAAACAAACTCTTTGCAACACGAGCTAGTAATTAGATTAGATTTCTTTTTGAAAATGGAGGAGGGAAATCGATGAAACCGAGGTAGGGGAATGAAATTGTTTAATGTCAAGAGATTAGATGCAGCTTTTCCCCTTGGGTGTCCACTACACACTGTGGCATAAGCAGGAGAAAGGGAAGAAAGCGTGAGGGGAACAGTGAGGAGGGAGAAGGAACATTGAGCTCTTCTTTGTAGAGTTATTTTGTCTGTTGAGAGGAGAAATAGATTTATTAATGAAAGAAAACCACCGTTCTCACGGGTTGCCCAGATGCCACCCTGGGCAGTGGTCCCCTGTGGTGTCAGCACGGACCCATGTCTTGCACAGACCCATGTCTCGAAATCTGTACATTTTCAGGTATCTCCGAGTCTTGCAGTGCTTCCACATGGTATTGTGTGAAAGGAGGGCCGTTCATAGCCATCCTTTGCTTGGCTGGAGTGAAAAAGTGTTGTGAGGGTCAACCTGATGAGGGAATTTTAAAAACCAGAAAATTTCCATTTTATTGCATACAGATTTGATGTATTGGTTGTTTAGGAACAGCTGCTGCTGACGTAAGGGGAGACCTTTGTCTTTATAATGAGACAGTTCTTTGTGGCTTGGCTTCTTTCATGTCTTGAAGCCTTAGCTGTAATCACTTTTGAAGAAATATTCTTAAAGTTTATTTAAGAGTATTGCAAAGAAAAATTTTCAAATAGATTTGGTAACATAAGGGAAAGGCATTATTTTGTGTGTTTCATTTTAGTGAATTCAAGTTATTGGCTGTTCAACTGATAGGCACACACTTTTTTGTTTTTTATTTTTCACTGTGGAATCCTAATTAGCCAGGCTCACTTTCTAACCATTCGCAAATGACCATGTGAGGACATATTGGTAGTTTAGAGAAGAGAAAAATTTTCCCTCATTTTCTTTTTAATACCAATTATGGTTGGGATCTTGTTGAGGAAATGATGACTGACCTCAGTGTTACGACTGCACATCTTTTATTGTTTGGCTTTGTGGTTTTATGAAAGTGATCCTTTTTTTTCCCTTTTATGTTTTTTCTGTGGCTTTTTTTCTTTATATCGTTGGGAATAGCTCTTAGGTTTCCTCTGCAGAGGTTGCCAGCTTGTTTCTTACACTCCAAGTACGACACTGGGTATCTCGGGAAGCCTGGGTAGGTACAGCACGCTGCGTTGGCTGTGAACCGAACGTGGTGCTTCAGGGTTTCAGCTCGTAGACGTGCTCCCCACCATTCTGTAGGCCTCCGTTTTACTTACCACTTCACATTTTTAGGCTAAGTTTGTCTACTTGAAATGTACAACACTTTATTTGTTTGTTTTCCTCTTAGGCTATGGTAACAAAATACAAAATATGACAAGCTGGGAGATTTGGCTGAACTAAATAGTTTTTTAGTTCTGAAAAATGGTTTTTTTTTTTGAAAAATGATAATGAACTAATTTTAAATCAATTTTTCCTCCAAAATTGTATTTAGGATAAAACAGTTTGAAAGGTGGCACTTATTTATTTTAGGAGATGACCTGTTCTCTTTATCTACAGTGAAGTTGAGCTACTGAGGAGTTTTTTCTCGATAGCACTGTTTTTTGTCCTTCTACCCCAGATATATAACTATATAATGTAGGTAAATTGGAGTTAGAGTGCTTTTATGTAAAATAGTAGAGGTCTTTGACACCTGGTATTTATTAACTACTTAGATTTTGGACTTTCTTCCCCCACCTTACAGAGTCCAGTTGACAATGTGTCTCCGCGCCATCATTAAGTACGATTTCCCTGGTCACTGGCCAGCGGTAGTGGACAAGATAGACTATTACCTGCAGTCTCAGAGCAGCGGAAGCTGGCTTGGCAGTTTATTGTGTCTGTATCAGCTGGTGAAGACATATGAGTAAGTCGATTTCTGCTGGGCAAGGATACCAGCCTTGTGTCGTTTAGAAAGAACTAAATGGCATACAGGGTTCTGCTGGGGGCGCTCTGTGGAGTCAGGTTAATTTGGCAAGCGGTAGGTTAAGCACAGTTAAACATGCTTATTTACTACAGTTATTTAAAGAACTTTTAATCTGCCAATGTACATTGCTAATCTCTGAGGCAGTGATGTGATGATATAGTGCTTTTCAAGATTTTTTGTTAATTCCAGGTGGTCCTTGGAAACTCTGATATAGAGGTACCTTAGCATTTGTCTTTAAATGAGTACCTTAAGTACGCCAAATATTAATATTTACTTTTTGGATGCAAGATAGAAAATGTTAAAGTTTCTTTGCTAGTGACTTTCTTTTCTATAAAAGTTGCTTGGGTGGTGGGGACAGGTGTCACATTTAACAGCGTTACTTTCCTCTTTCTAAGAGGATAGCTGCTTGTGCTCGAACAGCCCTCTGGTTCTATTTACTGACTAGTTGGTTCATACTCTGTAGGGTTTTTAGAAGATACTTTAGATTTGTAGCAGTTGAAGTATCTAAGGGCACATAAGTTTGTAAACTATTTTTATTTCTCAGTTTAGGATAGTTTAAGATGAAATGTTTTTACCCACATTACTTGTTAAATAATAGGAGTGTCTATTTAAACAGACATATCAACTTGTATTTAATAGGAAGAATTGTGGTATGCTGAAAATTAACTTAAGTAGTAGAAAAGTTTATTTAGGAAAGTTGCAAAATAGTCTTGGATTCTTTTAAACTAGTCCAGTTCTTTCTGGAAAGATTTTTAGTTTTTGCCTAAAACAGTGAACGTTCTTTCAAGTTTATTCTAATAATTCAAACATAAAATGCAACCCAGTTGTTGGGATGTTTTTGTTTTCTTAGCTTTAGATAGCTTTAAAAAATATATATATTTATTATTTATAGTTCTTTTGTGGGGGGAAACTATTTTCTTTTTGTCTTTGCTCATGTAGATACAAGAAAGCAGAGGAAAGAGAACCTCTTATAGCAGCAATGCAAATATTTCTGCCTCGCATTCAACAGCAAATCATGCAGCTCCTTCCCGATTCCTCACATTACTCTGTTTTACTACAGAAACAGATTCTGAAAATCTTCTATGCACTTGTTCAGGTCAGTTTCTATTGTGTAAGACGAATACAGTGCCTTGCTGTTCTGCCTAACACATGAAAAGTGCTCACTTAGTGCCAGTTATTAGTAAAAATGATGTATTCTCACACATAGTTCTTTTTAAAAACTCCTTATGAGGAAACAGGCTCACAGAAATTAGCTTGACAGTCCAAAGTCATCTGAGTGGCAGAGCTGCGGTTCGGGGTTTGCCTGCCGTTTACTCCAGTGTCTGAAGTCCGGTCCACTGAAGAACCAGGGCAGCCGGCTGCCCGGAACCTGATTCCTTCACTCATCTGTCCACGGCGTTCTGCCTGGAGAGTAGTTATGACGACAGAAGAGGAAGGAAAGGAAGAGCTTTCCTCTTTATTGGAAAATCTTATTGATGGTAGTTTCTTTGTATTTGACCTAGTTTAAGCTAATAAAGATTTTGTACCCCATTTTCCTTCATTTAGAATACTTCCTTTTTCTTATCTAAAGGGTATAATATATCAATATGGGAATCTAAAAAATAATTAGAAGAAGATGGAGATGAGATGTGTTTTAAATATAAAAGTATTTAAAATTCAATCCTTGAAAGTCTTGGGTAAATTATTTAGATTTGGGTAGAGGAAGAATAATTATTATCAGTCTAAACTGTTTGCTGATGAATGAATTAAACCTCCCTTACATGCTTTTTAATTAAATTATCTATAATGAAGTTGAGCTGCTCCATTTGATGGCAAGTTGATGGCAAGACGGTAGTTTTGTTGGGCCAGAGAGCCAAGGTAGTTTGGCTTGCTCTTGGCTTCGTATGTGACTTAAATGTTTTTATACTGTTACAGAGTATTTCACTTCAGTAAAGATTTATATTCTTAATCCTTTTAAACTTTTAATGGAGAGAGTTTGAGGCAGATTTTGTTTTCAGCTCAGCCTTCTTTTGGGAGAGGGGAGGGGGAGGAAGGCAAATCTGTGAAGAGCAAAGAAACTTGGATACTAGGAAGATACATTCTCCATTCTCTATTTTTTCTTTTTTAAAGTAATAGGAAAGGAGGATTCATGGTGCCTTTGCTTTTTCTTTAAAGTGCTGTTCAGAAGTTTTCCTCAGGAGTATCACTTTACTCTGAGGCAAACATTTTTCATTCAGTGAGATGCCATTAGATGTAGTAATACTCCATTTATTCCGAGGTCAGAGTTCCCTTTCCCTTTGGGAGAAGTATAACCGGGAATCAGGAAGTGTGACAGAGGCTGATGAAATAATTTTCCTCAAGCCTCCGCCTCTACTTGAGCTATGAGGGCAAAATCCAAAACGTTTATTTTCTCAACGTACACATGCTAAAACCCTAAAAAACCAATGAAAATCTTGACTTTTTAAACCATTTTTGTAATCTATTGTATGCTAGTAAAGAAATATGCTCCTGTTGGGTATCCTGGCAGCAAGGATTTGGAAGGCTTTAAGAGAGATAATTACAGTGATAATGTATTTATGTTTCGAAAAGTATGATACAATTCATTAGACTTTGTTCAAGCATTTATTAAATATTGTGCACAGCATTTGGGTATTTCACACATACTTCAGAACTCAGTTTGTCCAAAGGTGAACTCTGTCACTTTCCCCAACCCTCAGCCTGCTCCTCCTCTGTTCCCTCTCTCCCCATTGCACTGAGAATAGAGTGTGAATTTCTTTCATTCATTCATTCATTTTTTTAGAGAGGGTAAGGGAGAGAGAAAGAGAGGGAGGAAACATCAGCCCGTGGTTGCCTCTCATGTGTCCCCTACTGGGGACCTGGCCCACAACCCAGGCATGTGTCCTGCTTGGGAATCAAACTGGTGACCCCTTGGTTTGCAGGCCGGCACTCAGTCCACTGAGCCACACCCGCCAGGGCTGAAGTTCTTAATATGGTTTATAAAACCCTTCATCTCTCCATGTTTTCTTTTGCCATTTTTACCTTTGTGCTTTACACTCCAGCCATACTGAAATTCAGCTTTGTGAATGTGTCATGCCCTTTCTTAATTTTGAGCCTTTAAAATATTTCTACCTGGAGTACTCTTTCCCCTTACACGCTGGCTGATTTGTGCTCTTTTTCCATGTTTCAGTTCACATTTCCTTCTTCCAGAAAGTGGTTCCTCATACTACCAGGCTGGGTTAGTGGTCCTCTTGTGCACTGCTCTTATCCGTACACGGTATCATGCCACTGTGTAATTCCTTGTGTGTACACCTTGTTTTCCCCAGCGAGAGTGTGAGGACAGAGACTGCGTGTCTTACTTATCGTCATGTCCTTAGCACGTAGCAGGTTTGGGGATGCGTGGACGCAGACACGGTGCTGCTCATCTCCCTTCACTCACAGTGCAGCACGGGGGGGGCCCACAGTCAGAGAGCGGCTGCGGTTTTATGCCTCAATGTAGAGGAATGTGGCTGAAGAAAATGCGTCTTGAGATAAAGATTTTCATTAAAGTGGTTAAAATGAATTCTCACCACAGGACAGGTGTTAAGTGAGGTGATAGAAGTGTTACCAGAGCTTATTGTGGTAATCATTTCTTAGTATATCCGTATATCAAGTCATCATCTTACGTACCTTAAATACAGACTCACAATGTTGTACGTCAGTTATATGTCAGTAGAGTTGGGGAAGGAGTGGTCAAAACAGAGTCTGACAAAGGGGTGAACGGTGAAAAATCACTTATCTGGAATCTCATGCTGAGTAAATGAGACCTTACTGTATTAAAAATATTTTGTTTTCATTTAAAGTAGCTCCGAGAAGTAATTCATGGCATGTATATTTTTAGATTTTAAAATTTTAATTTGCATACATATGTTAATAGGTCTGTTTAAAATTGAATTTTAGGTTGAACCATATGAAATTATTATTTTCAAGGTCAAATGTTAGCCATTTCATGTATGTCAACCTCCCAGTATGGCCGAAATTGCTGATTTGCTGGAGCACAGCAGCTGCCGCCTGACGTGATGCTCTTTCTGTTTCAGTACGCGTTGCCTCTCCAGTTGGTGACTAACCAAACCATGACAGTGTGGATGGAGATCTTTCGAACTATTATTGACAGGACAGTTCCTCCCGTAAGAGACAGCTTCTGTTCTTAAGAAAAATGGGGAAAACTTAGGTTTGGGATACTTGTGGTAGACTGATTTATAATTCTAGACTATTTGGGAAAAAAAGTTACTACTGTAGTAAAAATAATTACTAATACATAGTCAGTTTTGGAATATTCAGGTAAACAAAACTAATAAAATAACTAATTCTTACTAAAATGATTAAAAAATTTTGAAAATTGGTATTTATTCCTCTAGCCTTTTTTCTTGGTTTCTGTATGTAACTATATTTTACTTGTAAAAATAGTATATGTAGTTACTGTTTTGAAATTTATTTTTCACTTCAAATCTTTTATAAGTATTTTTATGGTTACAAATGTTTTTATGCTGTCGGTTTTGTTGAATGCTTCATTTGCTGGCTGTTTAGATTGTTTTAGTTTTTTAGTGTTCTAACTGTAAAGATGTAGTTAAATTTTTATACACATACATGATTATTTTCTTTGGATAGATCTTCTAGAAGTGTTTAAAGCTTTGACAGATCTTGCAAAGTACTCTCCAGAATCATTGCACTGGCTTATACTTTAATAAACAGTAACTGAGAATATCTTTTACATAAAATTCTAAGTTTGTCAGTTTGACAGGTAAAAGGTAGTGTCTAATTTTTGTCTGCAATAATAATGATGGTATAATTATCAAATTTACTGAAATAATCCAATTAAAATATATATCAAATACTTTAAGATTTAAGTTTGTCTTCATATATGAAGTATTTTTTCTCCTATTCATATCTTGGGACATACTGTGTGTAAGTTTAATTTATATACTTTAATGCACAGAATTTTTGCATTTTTGCAAAGACACACTTGTGTTACTGTCACCCAAATAAAGATATAGGACCTTTTTGTTATCCCAGAGTTTCCTCCAGTGACATGGTATTTTGTATTTGTTTTCTACTTTTTTGGGTATTTTGAAAATAGGAAATAGATGTGAACAACAGCACTAGTTAGTTGAAATTTACTTTTCTTATTTAATTCCTAGCTAGCAATCTATAAGTAGAAATTTGCATTTGTATGGCAATCTAAATTCAGAATGAATATTACTCAATCTGTAGCAAGATTTATTCTGCCTCTGTTATTCACATAAAACCTTTTATTATGCAGACATTTAATCTGGGTGTTTTGTCCTCATAGGAGACCCTGCAAATCGATGAGGATGATAGACCAGAACTAGTCTGGTGGAAGTGTAAGAAGTGGGCTCTGCACATTGTAGCCCGTCTTTTTGAACGGTAATGCTGTTTATCAGATTTATGATCTTGTGGCCTGTATTTCAGTGTTGGATGTAATAAAATTGGATAGGTCTCGTGATCATCCACAGAATATGGTTATTTGTCTTTAGTGTCATAGAGGGCAAAAAGTTGCCCTCTGTTTTAAAGGACGCTTAATTGTGGTCACTGACTTTGAGATCATAAAGAGGTGCTGGGCTTTCTCTGAATCTTTCTATTTTTTATAAAAAGAATGGAGAAATGACAATGGTTAGCTTATTGGAAATATCCGATATTTTTGGAATATCCTGGTAATTCCTGGAAATACCAGGAATTGTACAAGAAGGTGCTTCACCATTCAGCTCCATAGGCAACTTAGATTTATTTAATGATGGAAGCATTTATTGAAAAATATATGTTGGATATATTTTTATTTGTAATATTCACCCTTTAGGAGGTCTTTGTTAACTAAGTAGGTAGACGTTTCTGTCTGAAGTTTTAGTAAGACCCAGAGTCAAAGTGCAGTTCATCATGATTTCATTTTGGGGCTTGTGAGAAGTAGGGAAAGTGTTAGTTTTCTGCCTCAATAGAATATCTTTCAACAAGGGATTGTATTTAAGCTAGTGAACATGCTCATTTTTAAAATTTACGCTGTTTAAACATTTTCTCTTTGTATTTTAAGCTATGGAAGCCCAGGAAATGTCACAAAAGAATATTTTGAATTTTCTGAATTCTTTTTGAAAACCTATGCAGTGGGAATTCAGCAGGTAATCAACTTATGCTTTTTAAACAGAAGGATGGTTACTACTGATAGTAGTTAAATTATTTCTGTCCATTTAAAATTGGGTTACAAACATGTTAATATACTGTGTATTTGTAGGGGATGAACTGGCAGCTCTGGAATTTAATGCAGTGCAATTAGTTTTAGAACCAGGTGGCCTAGGGCAGCCACCGCGTGAAGTGCCCTTCCAGACTCCCAGATGCTACAGGCAAACCTTTCTGGTTTGTTGGTGCTGGTATAGCAGTCACCATTATTAGGCTGGATTCTTCTGTTAACTCTCTGATCTCTTACGAGTTTCTGACCTTCTGTTCCTTTGAGGCTCACCTCTTTGTTCCAAGGGTTTTTTTTTTTTTAAAATAAGAGTTAATGGAATACAAATTGTTCTATTTCAAGAGAAGTTGAGCTCAGAAGTTAGAGACTTCAGCTGAGAAGTTACTCATTTTTTATGAAAGTTTGGGTACCATTTTATACAGTAAAAATTAGGAGTTCTTGAGAATAATATTTAAAAAGTACAACAAGTGGACATGAAGATTGGTTGCTCTGCATTGCCATTTGAATCATGATATTTTTGTTTATATTTCAGCAAATAAAATTTAATGACTATTGAGCAGTGTCTGGGTCAGGACCATATTGAAGAAGCAATGATTGCTCATATGTAGTGAAAGGCTTTAATCATACAGAGGATGTTTCTAGATTTTTATAAATTTATGCATATAGGCTTCTTTCTTGTAAATGATACCAAGTTAATGTTCAAACCTTTCATGTGAGATGGAATACTTCCTTTCATAGATTATCATTTTGTCTGGTATCATTTTATGGACTTTTGTTTCTAAAAAGTACCTTGCAACAGTTCAGGAAAGCTATGGCTGCAATTTTCTCACAAATTATTTTATTGCCCCTTGAGACAGTCTATAGGGGAAATTAGTGAATAATGATTAAAATGATCTGTTCACCAATTCACTGTGAATACTGGCATGCTTGGGAAGCTGGCCAGCTTTGCCTTCTGCTCTCTCCACTGCTGTTAAACCCATTAGGCTTCCTGAACTTGATGTCCTCTTAAGGTGTGTTCAGTAGTTTTTTCAGTCTCACATAAACGAGGGTGTGTCTAGGCACACATACATTTAAATGTCAGGCCGTTGCAGCCATGCCCTAAACTGTTCGTACCTTAGTTGTTTATGGTGCATGTTCCTAGTATTTAAAAGTAGTTTTCTTATCAAAAACTGTTCTCTTCTTTACTCTTATGTCTCATCCCACCACCTTCACTGTGTATGAGCCACACTGTGTTGGGAACACCCTGTTCAAACCGCACCCATTTTTAGCCTGCATTGCTGGCATTGCTGAAAACCGCACAGGTCCTGGGAGGACTTCAGACAAATTTTTTAAACCTGAATTTTATATAATTTGAACTGAGTTTATCTTCTGAATTTATAAATTTTGTACATGTTTTGAAAGAACCCTTTTTATTTAATTCACCAGTTCATTTATCAGCTTGCTATATGGAAGAGATCTGGAGACCAGGAATTAGAAAACTGATTTCATTGTGTTACCTCTGACGCAGGGTCCTTGGAACAGTCATGGCTGCTTTGGGCATCGTTCTTTCCTTATAAATAATCTCTCTTCTAAAAAATAACTTCTCAGTTTTGTGTTGTGTTTATAAAGACTTTCTGTGGACTGAGATTCTAAAATAAAACTTTTCCATATTTTCTTCTAGGAATTTTAAGCTTTCATTTGTTTTGTTGTTGAAATATTGTCTTATCTGGAACTTATTTTGGAATGAAGTTTAGTTAGCTTCTTTTTTTTTTTTTTAGAGGGCTAATCAGTTGTCCCAATACTATTTTTTTTTGGATAACTTATTATTTCTTTTTGTTTGAAGTGCAGCTCTGACAAGTATTAAAGTATGCCTGTGGTGAATCTTGTTGTCTGGTTGTTTTCTGTGTTCATTTAGTCAGGTCTGTTGTTGCTGTTGTTTTTTTAACAGCAAGCAGTCTTAATTTATTAGGAGAGCTAGTATGTGGAGTACAGTGCAGGTTTATTCTGAGTAGATCCACAGGTTAGAAGTAGGGCAGATGCCTGGAAATTACAGTAAGACACTGTTCCAGTATAACATGGATGTATCTCATAATTAAATTTGCCCATGAGTTTCCTCACAAAATATTGCCTTCCTTATAAACCTGTTAGTCTTTATCTTTATGCATTCTGGGTTTTATGTCATGACTGAAGTGCTCCTCCCCTTACATTTAAAATCGTACGTATCCTCTTATATTTCCTCTTCCTGTTTCCCTATAGGTACTACTAAAAATTTTAGACCAGTACAGACAGAAAGAGTACGTAGCGCCTCGTGTTCTTCAGCAAGCCTTCAACTACCTCAACCAAGGGGTGGTTCATTCAGTGACGTGGAAGCAGATGAAGCCGCACATACAGGTCAGTGTCGGGAGCAGTTCTCCCAGTATTCGCTGGTTAAGTTAGGTTTTCTAAACAAAGAACGTGTTACTGGTTCATATTTTATATTGAATATATTTTTATTTCCACTGATAATTACGGATGGGTGCGATCTTGTACTTATTTGAAGGACTTGGAAATTTAAGGGTTCGAGAAGAGGGAGAACTTCAAGTTTTATGAGTTGGAAGACTTGGATTCAGTGGATCTTGCTTAATTGTTTACTTAAAGATAGAATTCCACATTGTTATTTAAAGAACAGATGAGAATAAAAAATTATGGGCCATTAATAAATAAAGTCTTATTTGCGTACAGACAATTTTGAGTAATTCAACGATGTTAGGAACTGAATTTGTTTTTCCTTTTAAACTGTAAATTCTTAAATTCCTGTAATCTCCAAGATGGTATCTAAAAAGGAAAATAATTTTTTTCTTTGCCTTTGGTGTCCAGGATAGAATTTGTTTAGTATTATCTTATTACAGGTCTTAAGAAATACAATATCATTTGCATTGCTTTCTGTGGGTATCTTAACATTTGTCTAATCTCCTTGATCAAAGAGGGATCATTTCTTTGCTGTTAATAGATACTGATTTCATTTTATTTACTGTGTTCCTATAAAGCCAGGGTGAATTGTGATAGTGTTTTTTTTCTACATGATGCCTTTGGCCTTACTTTTACATGGCTATAATATAGGATTAAGAAAACTCTTAACCTTAGGCTGAATTTTTTTCTCTTAGACATATTTAATTTATTTAAGAGATGATTCTGTTTTTAAATATGTAATCGAAGCAGTGTACACACAGATGTGGTTTTTTTCTTTCCGCCTGAAACCTGCATTTGTAGAGTAGGAAATTAGGTTTTTGAAAATGGAAGAAGGAAAGAAAATTTTAATATTGTTGCTAGGTTGACATTTAGGACCAAATTGGGAATGAAAAACAGTTCACAGAAAGAAATACAATAATAAATATAACCTTGCTTGATATTTATTTCTCTTACGTTTAATACTAGTTTGTTAGTAAAACTCTATTATCCTTTCTATTCCTTCGACGAAGAACATTTACATTCATCTCTTTCTCTCTATCTTTAATCGGTTGCTGTTTAAAAAGTCTTCTGTTTGCCCCTCGCCCTCAGCCCCCTGCCCCCACCCTCGGCTCTGGCTTTCCTGCCTCACCTGAGCCACTGCAAGCTTCACAGAAAAGTAACAGTTGGGAAAACTAACATCATAAAGGCAGTCAGTAAATACCTTATTAGTGTTCCCCCATCTGAGTAGCGTATACCCATTTGTTGTTGTTCTTCCGTCGTAGAATATCTCTGAAGATGTGATTTTCTCTGTGATGTGTTACAAAGACGAGGATGAAGAGCTGTGGCAGGAGGACCCGTATGAGTACATAAGGATGAAATTTGGTAATCGAGACGATTTTATTCCTCATTAGTTCCTGCGTACCTAAACTTTTGTAGCTGAATTTATATTTTAAGCACATTTTATTACTTTGTTAAATTCTCAAGTTCTGCACTGTATGATAACCTTTGAAACTTGTGAGAGCTGGATGTTCTGTAGAACCAGTGAACTCGAGGCCTTTGGGTACGGGAAGCAAAAGGCCACTTTATTTCATCCCTCTTACGGGTGCTGAAGCAGCCTCGGAGCCGTCTGTAACCTTTTCTGTCGTGACGCTGATCTGCAGGCACCATCCCTTCCCGTGTCCTTTGGGATACCCATTGATAGATGGGGTTGTGCATGGTCTGGGAGATCCTTCGGATTTCTGCATGTTTTAGGAGCATCTATATTTACTTTGCTTCCTTATCCCAGAGACTAAGTATTCCACAGGGGAATGAGGTTATCTACAGTGGCCCCATTGTGTGGCCCTGTTTCTGGGGTGGGGGGTTTTTTAGTTTCGATTTTTCTGGAAGCTGTCAAATGGTGTAGATTGCCTGAGTTCATTTCCTTTTATTCCCAGTTTGAATTATTTGCTTCATGGAATTACTCAGGCACTTACCATAGCAAAATGTTATTTGTACCTCTGTTTCTCCCATGACTCAGAGTGACCTGAGGGCGGGGCTTTCTCTTGCTTATTTGCTGTATTTTGCATTCTCCATTCCTTCTGCATCTCTGCATACTAGTGTTTGGCTCTAGTATGTCTTTGATAAATGTTGCAATAAATAATTGGTAAAGCTATCACTGCCTAGGGCATGTGGAAGGTGCTGTGGCAACACAGGGCTTTCCCTTATTGGGCCAGGCGTCTCTGGCTGCTTGAGTTAAGTCTACTGGTATAGATGCTAAATTGCTTTTCCAGTGCTTGGTGTTTGTGTTATTTGATTCAGTAAGTCAGGAATGCCTCTTCTCTTGGAGACAAAGTACAGGATAAACAAATGAATGAGAAATGGTATTTACCATCTGCTTCATCCCTTCATTCTAAATTTTCTTTTGAAAAATCATTACACATGAGTACGATTTTTCCCCTTTTTAGTGCCTTTGTTTTCCTAGGAGCAGAGTAGTTAGCCAGTCTCCTGTCTTTTTCTTTTCATTGTATTTTTTTCCATCACCATTTATCCCCTGTACCTTCTCCCCCCGCAGTCACCACACTGTTGTCCACGTCCACGAGTCCTTTTCCCTTTTTTCTGAATCCCTCTACTCCCTGACCTCCCCACACCCAGAGCTGTTATCCTGCTCTCTACCTGTGAGTCTCTCTGTTTTGCTTTTCAGTTCAGTTTGTTTGTTAGATTCCACATATGAGTGAAATTATACGGCATTTGTCTTTCTCTGGCTGGCTTATTTCACTTAGCACAATACTCTCCAGGTCCATTAAGTTGTCACAAAAGGTAAAATTTTCTTCTTCTTCTTCTTTTTTTTATGGCCAAGTAGAATTCCATCGTCTAAAGGTCGCATAGTTGTTTTATCCACTCATGCATGGATGGACACTTGGGCTGCTTCCAAATCTTGGCGATTGTAAATAACCCTGCAAAGGTCATACGGGTGCTTAATGTTCTTTTGAATTAGTGTTTTGGGTTCCTTTGGGTATGTTCCCAGCAGTGGGATTGCTGGGTCAGAAGGCAGATTCATTTTTAGTTTTTTGAGATATCTTTATACTGCTTTCCACAGTGACTGCACCAGTCTGCATTCCCATCAACAGTACAGAAGGGTCCCCTTTCTCCACGTCCTCACTTATAGATGATGGCCATTCTGACTGGTGTGAGGTGATGTCTCATTGTGGTTTTAATTTGCATGTCTCTGATCCTTAGTGACGTTGAGAATCTTTTCATATGTCTTTCTATCTTTTTCACTGCATTCTTTTAATGTTTAGCTTTTCTGTAATACCTGTGTTTTTTTTGTAATGTCAGAGGAATTGTTCAGCTGTTCAGAAAGTTACCATTATTTCATTTATTTTTTTTAACAGTTGGTGTTTTTTTGCTTTACAGATTTTTAAAAATTTTTTAGAGAGAGGGCAAGGGAGGGAGGAAGAGAGGGAGCGAAACATTAATGTGTGTTTGACTCTCACACGCCTGCTACTGGGGACCTGGCCCACAACCCAGGCATGTGCCCTGACTGGGAATCGAACTGGTGACCCTTTGGTTTGCAGGCTGGTTGGTGCTCAATTCACTGAGCCACACCAGCCAGGGCACACTCAATTCTTCTTACGAAATAAGATACTGTCTGGTTTTAGAGATAAAATAAGAGCTATGAGTGTTGATTGACAGAATTTACATTGTATGGGTTAATAGAGAATATGGATAACTCAAGACTAGCTGAAGTGCCTTTTCCTTAACCATTTTCTTGTTATTAACCATAGAATGCAGTGGCTAGTTTTGACTTTTATATTTTACTTTTGGACAATATACATAGGGAAGAACAGTTATTATATTAGTTTTCTTTTTATATTTTTGTCACTTAACAATTGTTTATATGAATGAAACACTCCTATGTAAATGTATTGACTGATATTAATAATAAAGTTTTTAGATTCGGTCACACGTACAAGAGCCCAGGCGTTGATGCTAAGGCAGCCTGGGTGTGAGTGCCAGCTTGGTCACCTGCCCCGGGCACTGTGGGAGGGTTACGGAACCTCTCTGAGTGGCAGTGTTTTCAGCTATAAAGTAGGCAGCTGACAGTGCAGGATGGATTAAATGGGATGGGTGATACACGTAACTGGTTGTGTTAACTGCTTAGTGTGGAATACTATTGAATACATGCTGGCAGAAATCTTGCTGTGGTGCCTGGCACAGAGTAAGTACTCGATAAACGTTAGTTATTAGCCTTATTATATTTGTGTTTTATATTTTGAGGCAAAGACTTAGACTTGGGATTATTTTTATATTTAACTGTGATCTATCAGATACTTCTCAGGTTTTCATGTTCTTATACAAAACTGCCTATTCTGAAGTTTTCATGTAGTTAAGTGGTGTGTTTTACACAAGTACCCTTTGAACACCTGTTGAACCTACCTGTCGACAGAGCCAAGTGCTATCCTAGCAGTCCCTCAGGACTGTCGTTACACTCACTGGTTCCTCTCCTTGGAGAGTCGTATCTTTAGGTTTCCCTGCAGAGCTTTCCCCTTATCCATTCAGTTGCTTCTTACCTGTCACCTTAAAGGAACATTGCAGAGGCTTTGCCTGTCCCCCAATTTTTTGACCCCCTATTTAAACTAGCACCCTATACTCTGTCACTCTGTGTCTCTTTGCCCAGTTGTACATTTGTCCATAGCCTGACCTGTTATGTGTGTTAGCGTGTGTGTTATAATAACATTTCTCACTCTCACCTTGTAAACTCTATGAACCCTTTTTGTTTGATCTTTGTGTCCCCAGAGCCTAGAACAACAGTGCCTGGCACATAGTGAGCAGTAAATAAATTTTTACTGTTTTTTGCTAAAGATACAGCACTTTTCCTGTCCTCAGTGAAACAGATATCCCCAAATGGGTTGCTTTTAAATATATGATTGCCTAAAAAGACAGCCTGTAGAGTTTGATACTTCTGTGCATGAAAACATGGGTGCCCCTCAGCTCTTGTATGCTGTCCGCCGGTGTCGCGTGTGGGCTCTTGTGTTTCTTGGTTTCGGAATAGTGATTAATCAGGTTTAAAATATATAGGAAGTAATTATATTTTTACTAATACTGTTTAACCTTTTAACATCTTAGATATTTTTGAAGATTATGCTTCTCCTACCATAGCTGCCCAGACGCTCTTGTATACCGCTGCGAAGAAAAGGAAAGAGGTACATAGTTACTCTCTGTAAATCCTGTGTTGACTCGATACTTAGTATAACCCTGGTAATTGAACAGTGGTATGATGCGTTATCATCTGTCACTCTAAGAATGCTTTCCTGTCCTAGTAAGTACAAAGTGTTATTTGGTTTTCTTATTTATAACTACTTGATAAAACACAATAAAGTGGCTTTAATTTTGAAAATTTGTGTTTTGTATATAATATTATAGTAATGCAGCAAAAGCTAATCTACACTAAAATGTATTCTTCTGTTTTTTTAGGTGTTGCCAAAAATGATGGCGTTCTGTTACCAAATCCTAACAGACCCAAACTTCGACCCTAGGAAGAAAGATGGGGCCCTGCATGTGATTGGTTCCCTAGCTGATATTTTATTGAAGGTTAAGTTGTTTAAAATTTAATTTACTTAAAACTGTAAAGCACAGGCGGATGAGAGAATATGAAAGTTATGGATAATTTAAAGCTAGTGACTGCTTCTGCATGACTGAGTTGACTGTAAATATTCTTTCTGTCACCGGTTTCTTTAGTTAAAAGGAACATTTGACTTTTTTGTCAGCGTTTCTATATGAAACTGTTGCTGTATAAAAAAAAACTGACATGAAATGGCTTTATTTGTTTCTACAAAAATCAGTCAGTATCAAATAGTATTTAAGGTACAACTTTTATCTTATTTTAAAATAAGCAATATGTAGGTGAAGTAATTTTACAAACTTGTAAATAGAAATATATTAAGTGTAAGTCATAATAAATGTACTTTATTGGGATGTGATTTCTACATATGAAAATGACATTGGTAAGTTGAAACTTAGTTTCTGTTTCCTAACAGAAGAGTTTATTCAAGGACCAAATGGAGTTGTTGCTGCAGAATCACGTCTTCCCGTTACTGTTGTCTAACCTGGGGTATCTTCGAGCTAGAGTAAGTTTTTTGTATTTTCAGTATGTGTCTTAAAATGTTCATCTGTAAGGTAATTATTGGACTGTTTTTGGATAAGTTGACACATACTAAGGTGAAATGAAGTTAGATTGTTTCTTATGTCACATAAACTGAATAAAGAACAAATTAGTAAATAAAGGGATTTGTGGATTTTAATTCCAGTTGTTTTCATTTTGCACCCTCGCCTCACTTCCTGCATATGCAAAACATGCAGTGAGGGGGATGTCGGTACAGCAACAGTACAGAGTAAATCCATAAACCGATTAATTTTCCATGTCCAAAAAACAGCCTGGGATTCTAGTTTGGCTAAAAACCTGATTATGATTTCTAGTATATTAGGTACATATGCCTTAGTAAAGTGGAGAAAATAATAATCCATTCATGATAAACTTATTTGTGTTCTAAGTGTGTATTCTAGAAGCAACATTTTATGGAGAAATAGAACTTTAAGTCAAGAGCCTCATATTTATCTTTATAACTACATCAATACAAAAAGTTCTTGCTAAACACAGCATATGTTATTAATGCCTTATACATTCTAAAGCATTTTATAAACAAGATAATTATCACTGGAGAAATATTTGGGCGAATGCAGATTAGAGATGTCGAGCACACTCACATATTTTTATAGGTAAGCTGCTATCTTTGAGAATATGTATAAATTGTAATTCTACTGATAGAAGTCTTTAGTAATTTAAATTAATTACTGTTGATTATGTTTAATGCACATAGAAGAATTTTTAAAAAGTAATAATATGGTTCTGTGGTCTAATAGTTTAAAATTTGGTCATCCATACAAGGTTTAAAATCCTTCATACTTCGCGTGAGCGGAAAGGAGATTGGGTGTGATGGAAGGATAGCGGTGTTTGTTTGCTGTAAAGGCTGGCCTGTGAATGTCAGACGTTGGTTTGTAGTGGCTTTAACATATAAATAATAAACTAGTTATGGATCATATATGTATTAAAAGCATAAACAGGGCTTTTTTCTTTTTTTTAGGCATATTCTCTGAATTATTCAGTTTTTCAACACATGGTTCACAAACTTGAAGACAATTTATTTGCACATAGGGGCTAGGCTAGGATTTATATTTGAAATAGGGTGAACTTCCTTTTTTGTAGACGCTTAAATTTGGCTCTGTTTTCTTTTTCCTGTGAAAAAGGCTACTGCATATAGGTAATTTAAAAGTAATCAAGCTGCCTGTTTAAAAATAAAGTGGTTGGGAAATCCAGAAGTTAGCAACTAAGGCTTACATGCAGATCTCCAAAAAACAAATAGGACTTGGTAGAATTAATGATATTTTACTTAGTAAACTTTTTGTGTGACATTGTTACAGAATGCCATACGCCTAATAGTTTCCTATTCACTTTCTTATAACATAGTCCTGTTGGGTACTTCATGCGTTCAGTTCTTTGAAGTTTCATAATGAGCTCAATCTAAGAAATGCAGTTGAACTAGCAAAGAAGAGCCTGATTGAAGATAAGGAGATGCCTGTCAAAGTCGAGGCCGCCCTTGCTCTCCAGTCATTAATTTCCAACCAGACTCAAGGTAAAGCCAGAAGTACCTTTTAGAAGGTCTGCTTGCTTGTTTGTTTGTATTTGGACATGGTCTTCTCAGATAGTTTTCTTCAATTGCTTCCCTACTGAGGATGATTGTATAAGTCTTAAGATTTTGGGTTTGGACTTCTCAACTTCTGCCCCCTCAGAATTTAATAGGAGTTTATTCTTGACCTTTTTAGGAATTCTTTTTCACTGTGGTTTCCAGAAAAAATTTAGATTAGGGAACAAGGTGATAATTGTTGGGCATTATGGTAGACTGGGAATTCAGAGATTCAGTGTTTAGTTTTGATTGTGCTACTAATTTGCTACATAAACCTGGGCAAAGCACATGATTTGTTAAGGCTTAGATATCCATATATTTAAATTTAGGGGTTTGGGCCACATGGCTTCAAGATTCTTTCAACCCTAAGATTCTATGGGTTTGCTACTTCTGAAAGTAGCAACTAGCATTTCTGGTTAAGTGATGACATAGATATTTCATTTGTTTAGAAGAATATTTCTTTCCAAGTTCAAATAAACCGTTGGAAGTAAACATGAACCCAGCTTACCTCTGTTCACCAGTGTTTTAATGGAAGTCTGAGTATTGTATAAGGACACGCACGGTGGAGGCTGGGTAGAGGTGAGGTGGGGCAGGGAATGGGCACCGTGGTACTGGGCGCAGTTGTACGTACATGACTTTTTATGCTGCGTCATGCTAATCACGGAACATATTTCTAATTTAAATTCCTCAGTGGGGGCTGTTGGCATTTTGGGCAGGACAGTTCTTCCCTGTGAAGGACTGATTATCCCTGTGTTGCTCCGGGGAATATTAATGTGTTGATGGAGAATATTTTGGTACAGCATTGTAACTTACCACAGAACAAGAATCTATCTAGAACCTATTACACTGTGTCACTTTACCTTGTGAGCAAGTTAATTCTTTTTATCACTTGTGAATGGCTAATTTTTTAGTGATTTTGTTTGTTTTATTGCATTAGCTAAGGAGTATATGAAGCCACATGTGAGGCCTATTATGCAGGAGCTATTGCATGTTGTTATAGAGACAGAAAATGATGATGTAACTAATGTTATCCAGAAGATGATATGTGAATACAGTCAAGAAGTAGCCTCAATTGCTGTTGATATGACCCAACAATTGGTAAGACTGGGAAAAGTTTTATGTTAGTTTGGTATAAGAGCCTTGAATAATCTAAATAAATTAAACTGCAAAATTTAGAGTTCAGTTTTATGTGTAACTACAATGTTAATATAAAAATGTTTGTTCTAATCTTGACAGTTAATTTCTATATTTGATTTAAATCTAATAACATTTAAGATGATCTGCTGTCATCTCTAATATTCTGAGATTTCATAGTGACGTACCTTAATTTGAGCCTTCTAAATTCTCACTTTCTGGGCTTTGAATCATGAAACTCATTTTTTTTCAGTTTTAGGCAATTTCTTATATTATCTCCTTGATGAATTTTTCCCTGCTTTTTTTTTTTGTCCTGGAGCTCTGATGTAGAATGTTGGGCCAGGACCGAGTTTCTGGTTTCCTTACCTCTCTCTGCCGTCTGCCGTGTCTGTTCTTTTTGTCTCTTTTCCTAGGTGATTCCTTGCCTTTGTCCTCTAAAGCTTCTGTCGAATTTTTCATTTGAGTTTTACTAGATTTCAGTTTTCCTAGATTTTGGATGTATTTGTTTAATGACAACCAGAAGTTAAATATTAGCTCTCTGATTGTGATAGCTAATGTATATCCTACTCCAGCGACTAGATAAGGAAAAAACGGCTATGTTTAAAACATGACAGGTTCTGTCGTTGATCACTCGGCAAAGTGCATAACTTTGCCGGCATTTGTGTGTGTGACACTGTTCTTTGCTCACTTATGGTACCGAGGAGTGGGTATGACGATACTGATTATTGAATATGTTGATGTTAATTTCATAGGCAGAGATATTTGGCAAAGTTCTTCAAAGTGATGACTATGAAGAAGTGGAAGACAAAACAGTGATGGCCATGGGAATTTTACACACCATTGACACTGTCTTGACAGTTGTTGAAGACCATAAAGAGGTGGGATGTCTTTGTGATTTATTTCGTCATTATAGTACATTAACTGAAATTCATGTGGTTGGTGGGCACACATTTTAAAGTCCTGACTTTAAATTGAATTATGTTGCTAAATGTTAAAAATTATCCTCAAATTTTAAAGACATATTAAAATGATTGGGAGAAAATATTACGTGAGGTTATAGGTATGTACTGTATCCTTTTGTCCTGAACTGAACTAAGTTCAGTACATCGCATCTGCTCTGTGCCAGGCTAGATTTTAGGGAATACCAAAGTGAATAAGACATGAGTTTCCCCTGTGTAATCCATAGTCTGGTCTTCTTGGTAGAGAGTGATAGCTATTCAGTCACAGTGGCAAATATTAAATAATGTAACCAAATTCTGATGTAACAATTATTGTGAGGGTGGAAGGGAAGAAGAGCTTAAAACATAATTTTTCCTAAGCCAAATTCCAGAACAGTTTGGGAAAAGAGATGGGCAGAGAGTCATCCAGTGCTTTCCCACCCGTTGGCTGGCAGACTCCTACCCCTGCCATCCTGAGTTAGGTGGAGCAGGCAGCAGCAGTGTCCCCTGCAGAAGAGGAAGACAAGGTTTGGGTAGTCTCAAGGGACGTGTTCAGGGTCACCAAGTTTTGGGTTTGTTGTCCATTCGTTCTGATAATGCATTTGTTTACCCCCATCTAAAACCGCTGCTGTCCTCCACAGGTATCACAGAGCCTTTCCTTCATTCAAATTACATTTGTGTTCTTGACTTCTGTGAGCTCAGTTGACTTGTTTGGCATTGAGGGCAGCTCTTGTTTTATACAGCGAGGACTTAGGAAGCAGGTGCCAGTTCTTTAAATAACATTGTTAAACTCCGTGGCTGTTGATTTATCCTGTGTTTATCACAAAGCAAACCAGGATTACCAAATCCTTAGAAACGGTTTGATATTCTTTGCCTGGGTAGGCCTTCTTTCACCTAAAAGGCTTAATGTGAGTTTCGGTTTCCACATTCATTATTTTATTTTAGTTTTGCATCCTTTTGAAACCGTATGGCCCTCTTGGGGACAGTGAGGTGTTCCAAATTAAATCCTAACAGTATACTTGAGGGTAATTGTTTCACCTTGTAGGTAGAACTTCTATTTTAAATCGGAAGAGACCTGAGAGATCACCTCGTCCAGTTTTCCAAAGTCTGTGCGGAGGGTGGAGAGTAGTAGAAGGAGCGGCAGGATTATTTTGAAAACTAAACAGCATTTTATATTTTTGTTTTACTTTATTTACTTGATATTAAATTTATTTTGAATTTCAAGTAAAGTTAAAGGAGCATGTGAACTTACTGTGATTAATTATCAAGAGAGGTGAGGGCTAAAACTGAGAGCACTAATCAAATCCAGCTTCCTCACTTACACATGGAAAGACTTAAAGCCTTCGGCCAAATGGCTTTTCCAAGGACACAGATTAGTGATTTTCAACCTTTTTCTCTCATGCCACACACAAACTAATTACTAAAATTCTGTGGCACACCAAAAAAAATTTTTTTGGTAATGTGACCAAAAAAAAAACACCAGGTATAATTTTGATTCATTCATACTACACGGCTGTTGTTGTGTTGGCTGTTGTCATCTTTTTATTTGACAGTCTAAGGGAAAGGGGTCAGTGCCCCTGACTGAATAGTTAGGTGTCGCATGTTTTAAAAATTCTTGTGGTCCATCATTTGAAAAGCGCTGTCATTGATAATTAGGGGGAAAACAAGGACCGGAATATTGTCTCCTGGTTGCCTGTCCCATGATTTTAAATTTCAGGTTGTTAAAAGCAGACTTTTTAAAAATAATATTTTCTGGAAAGGGAATGTCACATGTATGTGCTTAATATGTAAATAATGTGTGACGGGCACAATTACAAGTTTAAAAGCAGATCTTGAGCATATGCAGCTGTGCTTAATGGTTTTAAACATATTGACAGATTTTAAACTGGGAAATTTTTGATTATTTGAACTTTAAGACAGTTGTTTTAGCTGAATATTATAGTTTATGAAAATTGAAATAGGACACTTAGATGAAAATGTAACGTAGAGTGCGTTTTCATTTTTTCTAATTTAAAAAACTGTTTCGTACAAACACATATTGAAAATTCCAAGGTACGAAAAGGTGTTCAGTGAAATTTCACCCTCTCACTCAGCTCAGCCGTGTATCTGCTCCTCCTCGCGAGGAGGAGGCTCCTTTGCCAGGTTTTTTGTGTCCTGCCAGAGATTTTTCTATTATAATATCCTGGGAACAAGTGAGTAGAGTATGTGCCTTTTTCTGTAATGAAAATGATAGCGTACGGTTTTCATCTGCCATTTTTTACTTAATGTTTCTTTATGAGTCTTCCATATTAGTCAGTAAAGTCACATATTTTTAATAGCAGCATAATATCCCTTTGTATGATGTATCAGGTTTATTTAACCAGTCCCTTGTTAATGGGTTTCATCATCTCCTGTTAAGTGGACGTCCAGTTGTCCTAAATCTATGTAAATCCCTACTTTTTAGAAAATCCCCACCCGAGGATATATGTGTTGATTTTAGAGGGAAGGGAAGGGGAGAAACATTGACGTGAGAGGGAAACATCGATTGGTTGCCTCCCGCAGGCACCCCAACTGGGGATCAAACCTGCTCTCCAGGCATGTGCCCCACCGGGCATTGAACCCGAACCCTTTGTTGTATGGGACGATGCTCCAACCAACCGAGCCACTCCTCCAGGACTAAAGTCTACTTTTAGATCATCGCCAGTCTGATAGGTGAAAAGTGTTAATCCTGTGCTAAGAATTTGTACTCTTATTATGTATTAAACATATGTTTATAAGGTTAAGGTCCATTTATTATTTTTTTTGTAATTTTTTGCCTGCCTTTTTGTTGATATGATTTCATGTGTGGGAAGTTTTATCTTTGTGTTATCATTTGAAAATGTTTCCCTCAATTTTTCATTTACCTCTGATTTCTACCTGCTCTATGCAGACATTTTTAATTTTTGATACCAGGTGACTCCATATATGTATTTCTGGTTTCTGGGCTTTGAGTAATTTTTTTTCTTTAGGATTATACACAATTCTTTGTATATCTTCTAGAATTTTTTATGTCTAAAGTTTTAATGTTGAAATCTTTAATCTATTAGGAATTTATTTTGGAATAAAATAGGTAAGAAATTTAATTTGTAATTTTATTATGGATTTAATTCTCATTTCCATAATTGGTTTACATTTTAGAATTTTCTGGTATTCGTACATGTTTAATTTTTTTCACATGAAGTTTAGAAGTAACTTGTCAACTTCTCTCAAAAAAGCCCTATTGGTACTTTTATTGGGATAGTTATAACTTTATAGATTAACTTAAGGGTTATGATGAATTTTAAACTGTTTAAAACTTGTCTTTAGGTTACTCAGCAGTTAGAGAATATCTGTCTACGGATCATTGATCTCGTTTTACAGAAACATGTAATTGGTAAGTTTAAAGGTTGAATAAAAATGTGAATTGAGAATTTTAAAAAATCTGATGAACTCTCAGTACATTTTTAGCCCTTTAAATTCAAGAAGATGGCATTCTCTTCAGTTTTTTTATGTACTTTCTAATATCTGTGTTTTTATTTAGAGAGAAACTTTGATACATCCAATAAAAAACTTTGGTCTTAGAAGTTTTAAAGGGCAGAGAAGTTAAAATTTTACAATTTTAGAAACCAATAACTGGGGTGGGGTATGGGGTTCAGGTGAGGTCACTTGAATCTGGGGCGGAAAATTGTGCAGTGACGGGTGTGTCTCATCAGAAGTGTGGCTTCATTGCTATGCTGTCTGCTCTAGTGCCTGACTTCTGAGTAGAATTCGTAACTGTGCTGGGTTTTGTAAACTTACAGAAATTTGTAGAGGGGGCTCCTTTTCCATGTATTCAAGCCTGTTGAAGGTGCTAGTCCCAAGGCATTTGGACTTGGAGCGAGAGGCACCCTGTGTAGTCCACAGAGAAACAGAGAGATGCAAGAAAAGCCTGTTACTGCTTTGGAGCCGTTGTCGCCAAACTTGAGCATGTATTTCTAATATATATGGATAATATTTGAATGTATATTTATAGGCAGTATACATATATTACTTACAACATTTACATACACAAAAATAGAAGTATAAAGGATGAGAATAAAGGTGTTCCGGTACACTCTTCTCCCATCTCAGTGGATCATCTTGCACACCGCCTAGGGCATATACTCCTTGTTTTTGAAGTCACTGCTATAAAGCAGTAGTTTTCAAACTTTGGTGCCCCTAAGAATCACTAAGGAGCTAGTTAAAGTGAAAATGCCTGGATTTCACTAAAGTGAAGAAGTCCCAGAGATTCTGATTCTTAATTTGAGGCAGTGTCCAGGAATCTGCATTTTTACTGAATATTCCAGGTGATTCTCATGCAGATGAAACAGTAACTTGGAGGTGCTTTCTATTAATAGGATCCCTGGACACAAGGGCCTTTCTTTACTTTCTTACTAGAGCAAATGCAAAACAGGTAACATAATCTAGCAGCCAGAAAAGAGTTGTCGCTAGTAATTGTAAGAAATTCGGTTGCTATTTTGTAAGCCTGGCTATTGTGGAAACAGGAGGAATTCTTAATGAAAGTGTTACACTAATAAACAGTGATTCATGACATGATTAGAGTCGCAGTTAAACTCTTACTGCACTCAAGGCCAGCTTTCACTGTTCAGCAAAGCATCCATTTGTATAAAGCAGGTAAGGGGGAGGCTATTACTTCTCCTCAGGGGACGTGTTCTAAGACCCTCGGCGGGTGCCTGAAACTGTGGGCAGTCCCAAACCCCATACGTAACTGTATTTTTCTGTACATGCATAGCTATGATAAAGTTCAATTTATAAGTTAGGCACAGTAGGAAATTAACAACAGTGATAAAATAGAACACTTATAATAGTATACTGTAATAAAAGCTATATGAATGGCTTTGAGGCCATTGTTTAGTAAAACAAGATCATTATGATGGAACGCAGGAACAGTGAGACTGTGACAGTCAATCTGGTAAGTGGGGGCTACTAAGTCATGGATTGTGGGGGGGCTCCGCCTGCAGGGTTCCCCCCGGTCGCCACAGATGAGAATAAGTCTACCAAGACATGATCTGCTTGGGGAGGAAAGGCGGTCGGTCTCTCAAAGGGCAAGGGCCAGGAGCCTGTTCCTCAGTGGGCTTTTATTGGGTTCGGTGTGCATAGGAATACAGGTAAAGCTCATCAGTCACTGTCAGGCAGTAATGATCATATAATAGATAACATACAAAGAACTCTGAGGACTCATTCTGAGTCAGGGTCAGATAGCTAAAGGGCTATAAAACTTTGGGAAAACAAACTCATTTCATGCTTGGACCCTTATCAGAAAACTGAGGGCATTCTTAGCAAAGCAGGTTTCACATGATTTTGTGCATTCTTTCTTAGGACTGATTGCCACAGAGAACCTGCCCTTTCCAGCACAGGGCAGCACCCACCACCAGCATTGTTTCAGGCTTAAGTCAGGCAGGGGAGGTGAGGTAGCCAAGAAATTAGGAGAGTTCTCACAGACAGAATGAGGACTCAGGCTGTGTCAAAGCTGAAGGCTGAGGGTCCATCACCCCCTTTTTCTACAGACCCCCAAGTCCTTCCCTGAGGGCCCCTTCATGACCATGCCTGTCTTAGGTCATCCCTCCCTTGAGGAATCTTACCCCTTATTGGCTGACCAGTCATCTGCCTGGCGCCAAGCAGGGTGAAGTAAAAGGGGGCAGATTCAGCGCCCCTGCCGGGGAGGGAGATAAGCTTTGTCTCCTTAGTGGCTTGTGGTCCCAAGGTCTCTCACTCAGCCTTAGCCATGGGGGGGGTTACAGTTTCTGAAACCAGGCAGGGCGGTTCTCAACAATGGGCAGGTAGTATAAGCACTGTGGATTCTCTGGACAAAAGAATGACTCATCCCCAGCAGGACAGAATGGGATGGTTTAAGATTTCATCATTCTACTCAGAACAGTGTGCAATTAAAAACTTAAGCATGTTTATTTTTGGAATTTTTCGTTTAATAGTTTTGGACTTCAGTTGACTGTAGGTAACTGAAACCATGGGAATAACCATGGTAACTGTGGATAAGGGGGGACAACTGTTTTGGAATTATTTGAGTATTATACTAAGACACAGCTAAGAGATATAAAAAATACCTAATACTTAATGTGAAAGAAGCGGCAGTGGCCAGGCAGCCCAGGTGTGCGAAGGTTCCCGCTGTCACGATGCACAGGAGGAAGGCCTGCTTTGAGGAGGGGGCGGTGAAGGAGGAGGTCAGTGAGGTGTCAGCTAAACCTGCTTTTGCAAGGTGGAAACAAAGTAGAAACAGGTGGCAGGAAAGGATAAATCTGCAGACAAAAAATGCAAACAGCAGGGGAAAGGGCAGCAGGGGGAAGACAGGCTGAAGCGGCTCACTAGGAAACAAAGTGGAGACACTAAAAACAGGAGTCTGGCCTCGGTTGAAGCCGCCTAGAAAGCAGGTGTATCTGCTGGGCGTCACGTGCCGTGTCTTACCCGTGGTCCCTGTCTCCCTCCTTGTGCAATCCAGAGGAGTATGTTTATTAAGTATTCTGTTAATGCCAGTTTCTGTATCTCTAGAATCATTTTTAAGGAGGGGGAAATTCTACCTCATCCCATTTTTTAAGTGTGAATGCTTTTGTTTTTTTGAGAGCATTCACCACAGTGCTCTCAAAAGCATTGAGAGCTTTTTTTGGTACAACCAAGAAATAGTGGTATATTGGTTGTTTTTTTGATACAACCGAAAAATAGTGGTATATTGAATATGGGAGGCTTTGAGTATCTTGGGTGTCAGCTAACAGTCCATAGATGGAGCCGATTTTTTATCCTGTAATGCAGAGCACACGAAGTGGCAATTTGGAGTCAGTTGTGCATTTAATATGTCGTGAACATTTTAAATTGCTTCTATTCTCATGTTTTTGGTAGAATTGTTTGCTTACAGAAAAGTCACTCCTTGGTTTGGGTTTTCCCTGTTAGAATTGTATGCACTCTGTAACATCTTTGGAATGATGGTCCAGTTTTCCTGGTTACTTTGTTAATCTGCTGTGAAAGATCGGAAGTCTGATTATGTAGAGCATATGATATTAAATTGTGAATTAGCGGGACTTTGATATAACAGCATGTCAACATTTGAAGCTATTGGTACTTGAAACTCTATTAAGGAAAATTAGCCTCCATATGTTCAGCTGGGAACTCACTTGGAGTGACTCTTTAGAAAACAACCACAACTACCTGAGTTTTTTAGGTGTGTGGTATGTATGTTAGGAATTGTGTATAAATTGAAATGTCTGTGTACTTAGCCTCAAAACCACCAATACAATCTGTTATGAAAGAAAAAATTATACTTTAAATGCATCTACAAAGGGAGGTAGAGAAGTTTTTTTATCTTTTAATTGCTCAAGTATTTTCGAATTACAAATATTTGCTTTTCTTCTAGATAGCAGCAAGAATTATTTTGTGATTACTTATCTCTACTTTTCAGGATATTATTATTATTGCCATTGGAGATGTTAAAATTGGGAAGGTAATAAGCTTAAAAAGAATATGTTCACTTTTATCCTTACTTATGGAAGAGATTATAAGGGAAAATTCTCCATTTAAATTTAAAGTAATCTTGAGGAAAACTCTGAAGTAAGGCAAATAGGAATAGTTTATCCCAGCCTTCTATAATCCACCTATACCAGCATTTGATTTGAGAATTTGATTTTAGCATCAGGATGTTAAGGAAAGGGACCTATTTCTTGGGAGCAGAGCGGAGAGGAGAACCATGGTTTGAATCACTCGTCCCTTCCCAAGTCCCAGGAAGATGGATAATCTCTCATATTTTTAGCTGTGATGCATTTAATGCTGATGGCCCTTTTGAACCAATATTTGACCACACAGGATCTCAGATAAAAACAAAATATGTACGGTTCTGGAAGATGTCACAGGTTGAATCTGTTCTTCCAGGACCCCACCCACAGCAGTCTGACCATGTTTATGTCTATGGTCCAGTTTCTTTCCATTATCCCACTTGCACTTCCTTCTCTACCTGTTTTCGTTGCTGATTTACTCATAAAATTTTATTCACTAGAAGCCAGGCTTAGCTATTACTGCTTTAAATGCTTTATCATGTACACAAAGTCAAACTTCATAAAACCAGCCTACCCTAACATTTAGTCTTCTGGATTGAGAGTGATTACAATAACTTCTGGTCAATTTAAGCATAAATGGAATCTAGGGGGAGGATATTTGGTGGCTTACTGAATCCATGGGAAGGCTGGAGTTGGGTAGAGCCAGCAGGATTCTGCCATAGAAATTGTCTACTTAGAAGGCCAGAGCTGCCTTTGTCAGCGCTGGGTCCTAGGCTGCTGCCCATCGCAGTCTGGACTCTAGCACAGCCACAAAAAATCATCTGTAATAGTTTTGTGCCTTCTAGTTTCTCCCTCAAGTTTCAAAGTCCTGGTTTTGAGTGGCCAGGTCCTATGCCCACGCTGTGGTTTCAACAGTGTGGAAGGAAATACGGGGCCCCGTCTTTTCTCCCCCGCAGAGTTTATTAAAAAATTATTTTTATTATTGTTCAATTCCAGGTGTCCCCATCCCCCCTAGTACTCTCCCCTGCCCTACCCATACCTCACTTTCCATATTCGTTCCTTGCCCCCACCCCTGTTGTCTCTGTCCATGGGTGGGGGGCAAGGAACGTGTCTTTATACACGTTCCTTGATGACCCTTCCCCTACTTTCCCCCATTATCTCCCTTCCCACTCCCCTCTGGTTACTGTCAGTTTGTTCTTTATTTCCATGTCTCTGGTTATATTTTGCTTGCTTGTTTTGTTGATTAGGTTCCACTTATAAGTGAGATTATGTGGTATTTGTCTTTCACTGCCTGGCTTGTTTTGCTTAGCATAATGCTCCCCAGTTCTATCCATGCAGTCATGAAGGGTAGGGGTTCCTTTTTTCTTTCTACTGCGTAGTATTCCATTGTGTAAATGTACCATAGTTTTTTGATTCACTCATTTACTGATGGGCACTTAGGCTATTTCCAGCACTTGCCTATTGTAAATAACGCTGCTATGAACATTGGGCTGCACAGGTTCTTTTGAATTGGAGATTCAGGATTCCCAGTTGTATAATCCCAGCAGTGGAATTGCCAAGTCAAAAGGCAGTTACATTTTTAGTTTTCTGAGGAAATCCCATACTGTTCTCCACAGTGGCTGCACCTGTCTGCATTCCCACTGACAGTGTACTAGGGTTCTCTTTTCTCCACAACCTTGCCAGCACTTGTTTGTTGATTTGTTTATGATGGCCATTCTGATCTGTGTGAAGTGGTATCTCATTGTGGTTTTAATGTGCATCTCTGTGATGGCTAGGGATGCTGAGCATCTTTTCGTAGGTCTCTGAGCTCTCTGTATGTACTTCTTGGAGAAGTGTCTGTTTAGGTCCTTTGCCCATTTTTAAATGGATTGTTTGTCTTGGTGTGGAGTCATGTGAGTCGTTTATATATTTGGGAGGTCAAACCCTAGATCATTGGCAAATGTGTTTTCCCATACGGTTGGTTCCCTTTTCAATTTGCTGATGTTTTCTGTAGGCACGCAGAGGTTTTTAATTTGATGGAGTCCCATTTATTTATTCTTTCCTTTATTTCCCTTGGGCCCCCTTTTTTGTCTTTAAGCTACATGTTAGGAGGAGGCATTTGTTCTCTTTTTGTTATCTTCCAGGGTAGGGTAATGATGAACAGAACTTTCAGAAATTTTATATTCAGATAATTTGTTGTTTTTCAGGTGACTGTCTTACATAAATTATTTCCCAGTATCTGTGATTTACCCTTGTATTTTGCTTTCATTAAGGCAGATATCTGCATTGCTAGTTTTTGAATATATTGTTTTAAATAATGTTACAGAAAAAAAAACTTTATTCAAGCGTCCAGGGTGAATATTAGTTCCTTTTAATAAAAGGAAAAAAAATTGAAGTTAGACTTTTTTGCTCAGTGACAAGGAAGGACTTAATTAGGAATTTTTACATTGCGTTTGGTGTTTTCTGTTTGTATGTTTAGACATAATTCCCTTCTGACTTTGGTAATAATAAATATATGTGCAAATGCAAGAACATCCCCTTTGGACTCTTCAACTTTATAGTGGGTATAGTTGTCTTGATAGATTAAAAAATACTATATAAATTTTGTAAGTTACATAAATTGAGAAAATACTGTCCAGTATAGAGTTTGTAAAAATATTTGAGACGGGCAGATATTTTAGCCTAGCTTATTAAACTCTCCAAAGAATATTAATTACTTGTAAATTTAAAACCCTGTGCATGAGCAATACACAAAACATCTGTTGCTTCTTGTATCTATTTCTATTACAGTTTTATAAGCAAACTATATCTAAAATAGTTATATTTTATATATTACAGAATATTCAGTACTTTATGTAAGTTTAGTAAAAACAAAAGGTTGCCTTACTGAGCCGGGGGCGGGTCTCGGTAAGAAAGGGAAGGTGGCGAACACAGGTCGCTGAAGACGTGAGCGCCGAGAAGGGCTCGTGTCAGCCGCAAGAGGCACGTGTGGGAGGGTGCAGTCTCGGTCCTCCTGCGTGGTCTCCGTGTTTCATTTTGTGCTCTTTCCTAGCATTCTAACTAAAGATTTTCTTATTTTCTAGAATTCTATGAAGAAATTCTCTCACTGGCTTATAGTTTAACCTGCCACGGTATTTCCCCTCAAATGTGGCAGCTTCTAGGAATATTATACGAGGTTTTTCAGCAGGATTGTTTTGAATACTTTACAGGTATGGTTTTGACCATGTAACATTTTTTGCTTTTTTGTGTGTGTATACGTTATTTCATTTGATACTTGAACTAAAGACATAGATGATTTTAGTACTAATCAGAAAATAATCGTTCTTATTTCCCTGATGAGCAAAGGCTGGGGCCGTTTTAGCAGTGATTTTCAGCCTCAGGAATACAGGCAGTAAGAGGGAGCCTGTGTTTCCTCTTATATCTTAAGTTAGTTTGCAATCAGAGCGATTCAGTTAATATTTTCTGAATACTGACTCTGTTCCAAGTGCTGTTCTAAGCTCAGCAGTGCATCAGTAAACAAAATAGCCCTTGCTCTTTCGACGTTTTCATTCTAGTGGGAGAGGAGGGAATGTATAGAAATGCCCGGACACGTAAGACAACATGTAGTGTGTTAGATGGCGATCGCTATAGAGAAAAACCACATCTTTTCTTTTTATTCTTTCGGATCCATATTTTCTTCCTCTGGAAGTAGGGCAGTGATGAGCATTTTATTCTTTCGGATCCATGTTTTCTTCCTCTGAAAGTAGGGCAGATTTGTCGCTTTTGTTTCTAGCATTTTGTAGTTGCAAGGGAAGATAATAATGTTTGGGTGCAACAGCAATGTGGTTTCAGTGGTAATAATTTATTTCCACTCCTGTTACTCAAGTCTCATTGGGATTTTGAAATTTTTTTTCAGACATGATGCCTCTCCTGCATAATTATGTGACAATAGATACAAATACTTTACTATCAAATCCAAAGCATTTAGAAATACTTTTCACAATGTGTAGAAAGGTAAGCATGCCTTAATCAGCTGTTGTAGTTTTGAGTGTTTTACTCTTTTAGTTTGTTTCCTATACATTTACTATATTTTGCTGTGTAATGAGGTACTCCCATGGTTTTTGTGTGCATTATACACGGGATTATTTTACCCCATTATTATACCCATGGCATGTAATCATTATACTCATGTATAATGCGCATCCTTATTTTTCCCTCAAAAATTGGGCATAAAAGTGTGCGTTATACCTGTCAAAATATGGTAGTTCTTGTGTATTGTCTTCATCAACATATATTTGCTATTTTGTGTTTTTAAAATGGAGTTTGGAATTGCAATTTGAAAATTTCATATGGTGTTGTTCTTAAGAATGTTTGCCACTTTTATAGCTGTGTACTTTATAATATTCAGAGGTAACTGATTTTCTTTGTGTTTGCTTTTTTCAAAAGTGCAGACTTGCTACTTAATTAAAGTGCTAGGAAAATAACCACACAGTTGGCCAGTCATTGATTTTTCTTTGAATTGACTGTACATATTAGAAGTTGCTAGATATAGGTAATTTGACCATAAATAATGTAAGACAGAAGATTGAAATTGTTGGAGAAACAGCATCATTTAACTCAGTCCAGGATAATTTATAAGCTACATAATGGCAACTGTTAACATTTATGCACAAACCTTGATTGTCTACTGAGCTATCTTTGTCACAGGTTAGATTTGGCCTTCTGTTAGCTATATCTGGGAACCATTAATGACTAAGTAATGTTTCCCTTACTGGGAAACATAAGTAATGTTTTTCCCTTCACTGTAGGTGAGTATGCAGCATGTACATACGTAAATACATATGAATATAAAACTGTATTGCATGCAGCTAGCAGAGTTTAGAAAGCTCAAATAGCCAAAGCTAAGTTTGGCCTTGGAGTTGGGAGCAAAATATTAGTGTACAACCTGTTTTCCTCACCAGGGACGTGGACCGGAGTGCTGAACCGGTAATCAGCATATTTGAGTTAGGTCCCAGTTCAGTTCCAAAGACCCTGGAAGATTTGGAGAAGTCACTGAATTTCTTCACATATAAACTGAAGGAGCAGAATCATGGTTTTTAAAGATTCCCTTAGTGCTAATAGCCCAGCTTGTTAAATCATAATCACTTGGCATTCTTCAGTTTTTCCTGAGTTACAGAAACAGCTGCTGGTGAGGAAAAGAGGAAGGGAAAGCAACAAGCAGAAACCAAAGCTGTTGTACATGGTCCCTTATAATTTAGAGCTGCTTTGTACTATGGCAGGAGAATAAAAGTAGTGTTCACAATGATGGACTTGTCAAGTACTGAAATGTTTCATCTTCTTGGTTTTAATGATCATTAATAGTTATTGAACCCTTACTGTGCGTCAGGTATCGAGTGCTTACTGTTCCTAAGCACTCGATACATACTAACATTTAATCTTTAGGAGGTTGAACCCCAGTTGCTTGCAGTATGCCTGAAGTTTAGTGAATTGTCCTAACTCACTGTGTGTTGGAGCCAAAGTTGAACCCAGGCAGTCTGGCGCCAGAGCCAGACTTAATCTGATTTTTAAATTACTGAAATATATTTTGTTTTTTTCCTTTTGAGAGAGTGGGGGTGGGAAAACAAAACCAACCTACAAAAACCCAAGTAAATGCACTTTTGGGAAAATGGAGTGATTTTCTTCTTTCTGTATCATGCAACCCCATTAGGGAGGCATGTGATTGTCCTCCTTATAGAGGGGACAGTGAGACGAAAAGAGGGTAAGTGGCTTTTCTGAAAATACAGCTACTGAATGGCGGAGCTGGAAGGCATTCTGGTTCCAGAGCCCATTCGCAGATCTGGGTACATGGCCCTAGAGGTAGAATTTTAGATTTATGTAAATAGGGTTGATTCTTGGCTTTAGCAGCTATCTGCTTACTATTCAACTCACTGTTCCATCTGCTTTCTAGCTTCTAAAAATTTTATAGCTGTCTCTTTTTTCCTTTTCTCTATCTTTGTGAATGTATATCTCTGAAATCTTTGTATTATCTTTTTAATGGCTTTTTGGGAAGGAAGAATATTAAATGGGAGCATTCAATCTGTCATCTTTATCTGGAATTTCTTTTTAATTCAGTTTTCTTAAATTGTATTCGTCTAGGAAGTTATCCAGTTTCTCTACGTTTTCAAATATATAAGCAATAGGGTGTTCCCCATAGCATTCTCTTATTTTTAATCTCTTCTTTATTTGCAGCCTCAGGAATATATCTTTTTCATTTCTGATACTTTACTATTTTGTTTTCCTTGCTTTTTGAAAATATTTTTTTTATATAAAAGTTATCTATGAAGTTTTTTTTTGATGATCTGTTTTTGGTTTCTGTTACCTCTTTTTGTCTATATATTTTCTGTCTCACCTTTATTTTTTGGGTTAAGTTTGTTCTTTTTATGTCTGGTGTTTGAACTCTAATTTTCTTCATAACTCAAATTTTTCTTCATTTCTAACATAAGCAACTTCTGCTTTCTTCTGGCAATCTTAAGAAGTGTACAATACCAAATTAGGATTATTATTATGAAAAAATGGGTGCATGTAGACAATTCAAAAAGACTGGGAAAACACAGGGTTTGTTTTACTGTTCAACAGGAAGGGTTAAAAATTTTAAAATTGTTTTGTTGTTTTGGTGCCTTTCAAAGAAAAAGGACTCATGGACATGGGCAGCAGCGTGGTGATTGCCGGGGAGGTGGGACGTAAGGGGACTAAATGGTAATGGGAAAAATACGGTAAAATTAAATCAAAAGAAGAGAAGCCTCATGTATCCAGATAATTAACTCATATAGTCTACTTTATTATACCAAAGTTAAGTGAATTTTTACCTTCTGTGAGGAATTAGAATAAAGAAGATTGATAGACTTTGTTTTGACTTTTCCTCTTTGAGTTGGCATGGTAACTTAAAAAGCAAGCAAAGCTATGATTTAATGGCTAAATTTTTATGAGGTATTTGCTTTGATATTTGACTTGGTCAAATTTTATGCAGTGCCACTCACTGCTGAGCTAATTGTGATTGCGGCAGGTGCTGTGTGGAGATGCAGGGGAAGATGCAGAATGCCATGCTGCCAAACTTCTTGAAGTCATCATTCTTCAGTGCAAAGGGAGAGGAATCGATCAGGTAACACGTGCGGAAAGCCTCTTACCTGATGTGTATATTTAAAATTTACATTCCTGATGGACGTGTTTATATTATGTTGGAAAATTTAAAAAAATAGCCTATAGTTCTTGCTTGCTGGTGGAAAATCCTATTTAAATGACAGAGAAAGAGTCTATGGCCATACCACACTGAACATGCCCTGTCGTGTATGATCTTGGAAAACTAAGCAGGGTCGGGCCTGGTTAGTAGGCCCAATGGGAGACAAAGAAAGATAGATACTCATGCAGTTTGGAAATTTTACCTTACATTTTAGCTGAGAAAGGGATTCACGGAAAAATAGGTAATAATCTAAGGGGCCCTCAGGCAAATCATAAAGAAGATACATGTATGAATTCTGCACAGTCGGATTCCCAGAGATTTGAGTTTTCACTTTGTTTCTGTGTGTGCTATTGAAGTATTCCCAGGTTCTTTATTTTTTTATCCAGAAATGAAAATACTACGTAAAAAGAAAAATGTTTGTTTACTGATTATTTTTCCTGTTTACACCTTAAACATGGAAAGACTGAGACCGTACTTGGATTATTGCCTCCATTTAGGTGTGGACTTTTTAGGACAATCTCCACCGAACTGTAATCCACCCTGAAAAGCAAAGGAGACCCCTCAGCCTTGCTGTAGGACCTCTCTCTGGCCATTTCGTTGCTCTGTTTTTTTCTGGAATATAAATTTAATATGTCTGATAATGATTTAAATAAGCAAAGTATTTTTTTTACTATTGAGTATCTTATTTATTGATTATATTTTTTTACCAATGTTCATTTTTTTCTCTGTGTCTCTCATCTTATTTCCTCTAGTGCATTCCACCCTTTGTTCAGCTTGTTTTGGAGAGATTAACCCGAGGGGTCAAAACCAGCGAGCTCCGTACTATGTGTCTTCAGGTTGCAATTGCCGCCCTGTACTATAACCCCGATTTGCTGCTGCATACCTTAGAGAGAATCCAGTTGCCTCACAACCCTGGGCCTGTAACTGTACAGTTCATAAATCAGTGGATGAATGATACAGATTGTTTTCTTGGGTATGTATTTTCTTGATTTTTCACTGCATTTCTGTTTCTGGAAAGTTGAATTTTTAATATGTGCATGTAATAGCATATAGAAAGATAATCTTCATATTTTAAGAATAATTTTTAGTACATTAAAATATTTAATTTTTAGATAATGAAGAATGTGTTTCAGCAGTATAATGTACTAGAAGGAAGGAACGCTGGCTCTGAAAATTAGGTGTAGCCCTTCTTCTTTACTTTTGACTTGCACATATTGCTCTGTCTGCATATAACAAAAACTAAGTGTCCGTCCAGGTCCCATGACTGTGGAGCTTCCAGGGGTACAGACATTCATGGAGTCATGCATGGGGTCAGGTTTGTAAGGAAGTGACCAGTGTATAATCTACTCTGGTAGCGTATAATGTACTGTCCCAGGGACCTTGCAGGTCTCAAGGGAGCCCTTTCTCAAACATGAGGTCAGGATTGTTAGTGTGGCCCAGGTGCTGCCCTGGTGGGAGAGTTAGGACTTAGGTGAAACACTGTCCTGGTTTTCTGACGTAGGCAAAGTGAGATTCCAAAGTGGTTACATGCCTACCTCACGTGACCTGACACACAGGAGTGAGCCAGGACGTTGTAGTGACTGTGTTATGCTAGAATTTGAGCTAGATTGTTGACTGATGTGTTTAAAGTGTTAGAAATAGTGAATGTTCTTTTTAAACTTTGTAAGATACCATTTAGAAAAATTGGCTGGGGTGGGGAAAGACTTCCAGCAGGAGAAACACTGCTGAGTGGTGGGCAGAGAGTGGTAGAACGGGAGTAGGGCAGCGTTTTATAAGCTGCTCTATTTCTTCGAATTATTCTATTTGTAGGAGACTGGAATCTGGCCCTGTTTTAGATTTCATACTTAATCTGAAAATGGATGAACATACTTTAAAAAGAAATAGTGTCTAAAGTTGCTTCTGACAAAGATTTAGGGAGTAGAGATTTGGTCATTTCACACTTAGCAGTTGGTTCGCTTATCTCTTTGTTACCATCTATAAGCAGTTTTTCCAAAGATAGAAACGCTGTCTCAGCTGTTCCCTAGGTTGGGCACACTTGGATTGTGCTTCCTTGGGTTCTTCAGAGCCCCACTTTCTAATCAGTCATCTTTCCTGCTGTGATGCCTTTGACACCTGGTATGCACTGCCAGTTCAGGGCTGCGTGGATGAGAACGCCCCCAGGACAGGCGTGGTCCCTGTTGGGGCATGCTGCTCTGGCAGCAGTCACTTGAATGAATCAAGCAGTGCAAATAATGAAGAATGACAGAAGCTTGTAACACATTCGTTATTAAGTTTATTGTATATTACTCTCATTTCAAACAAATCGAATCACTGCAAATGAATTTTTGTTCATGCCACAATTTTAAGTGTTATACCGTAGAGTAGTCTTTTTATTTTTAATATTTTTAGTTTTAAACAACTTAGAAGAATCATTCAGTAGAAAAATGTATGTCATACATATTGGTCATTTTTCCTTCATAATTAAATTTTCCTTATCTTGCGGCAGAAGACATTGAATAGAGTTACTTACAGACATTACGTTCAGCTTATTAGATGGTGAGTTTTGAAGTGGCGGTTTTGGCGCCTGGGGTCAGTGTAGAGTGTATGTCCTGAAGAACCTTGTAGCCCAGTGTAATACAGACAGAGTCTAAGGAACGCTTCCTTTTCTCCGTTGGATAGGCATTTGATGCTGTCAAATGCAGGTATCCCTGCTCTAATAAAATTTGTTATGCCAGGGCCCTGATACAGCATTTATATTAACCATAAATCGATATTATAGTAAGATTCACTGTACTAATTGCAGACTTTCATAGGTCTTTGATGGCAGTAATTGGTTTACAAACTTCATTTACATGGGATTTCATATAGTACAAAATGGGGGATATATCTTTGTAATGACAATGAACGAACCTTAGAGTACACCTTAAACATTGCTTTTTTATTTCTTCAGAATTTGACCTCATTGCTCACAGGCACATTTACTTTTCCTTCATCATTTGTAGGCATCATGACCGGAAGATGTGTATCATAGGACTGAGTATCCTCTTGGAATTGCACAACCGACCTCCTGCGGTAGATGCTGTGGGGGGACAGATCGTGCCCTCCGTTCTTTTCCTCTTCCTTGGACTGAAGCAGGTCTGTGCTACTAGACAACTGGTAAACCAGGAAGATCGCTCAAAAGCAGAGAAAACTGACACAGAAGAAAATGGTAAAGCCTTCTGATTTCCGTGAATGCTATAATTGATTTTGATTTGAGCATGCATTTTCTTTGGATCTTACTGTATTTGAAGTCATTAAACAGATTTACATTCTTTGGCCTGTTGCACATTTCACAGATATTTGGGGTTTGGTTGACTTTATTATATCATCTGATATAGATTTATATTTGTTCACTTTTTAACACTTAAACAATTTATAATTCAGCCTAGTGAATGTTGTTATACCCTGGGAAATACATTTATAACAATTCAGTGGTCTTGACAATAAGTTAATAACCCAGTACTTAGTTATTTATTTTTTGGTGCTAACAGTCTCAGTGAAGGCAGCAGTTATGAGTTAAATGAACCATTAGACTTAGGAGTGTCAGTACAGCAGATTAGTGGAGTGTCTGATTTTTTTGGTAATGATTCTTAGGTGGCTCATCAAAAACATTATGATTGGGAGATATTTGTGATTTCCATATTATCCATTTAGAACAAAGTACATAAATGAAGGTGATTTACTTCACTGAGTGAGAATAAGATTGTTAGCATCAAGAATGTTAGATCTTTATTTTATTTTTTGATTTTATTCATTTATCTTTAGAGGGGAAGGGAAGAAGAGAGGGACAGAAATATCAATGTATGGTTGCCTCTCGTGTATCCCCTGCTGGGAACTGGCCTGCAGCCTAGGCATGTGCCCTGACTGGGAATCGAACTGTGATCCTTTGGTTCTCAGGCCCATGCTTAATCCACTGAGCTACACCAGCCAGGGCAGATCTTTATTTTACTGAATGATACTGTGAAGCTGCTTCATAGGGCCCAGGAAGTAATACTGTTCACCTCCAAATACTGTTCAAACTCCAGAGAGGTTTTCCTCTCTGGTTTAAAAACAAATTATTCTGGAAAATATACAATTCTATTTTTTATGCTAAATTCTATGAAATTCTATGTAGGTCTTTGGCAGTAATTCTTTTTTTTTGCTAGAAGTTTTATGGCTTTTTACTAAGTATATGCCAACAATTGCAGATTTTTCTCTTTCTGATTTTTTGTATTGACCACTTTTTATTGATTTATAATTAATATGACTTGAAGGAAATTTTCCTGCAATATTCCAGACTTTCTCGATGAGTTTCTTACTAAAGTATAGAATGATTAACTAACAAAAGTACTTTTTGATGTGTTTGTAATTATACCTTTACCATATATATATTTATATACAGATACACACACGTGTATATGTGTGTATGTGTATATGCTTATGCATGTGGTATATGTGTATGTGTGTATATATGTGTATATGTGTTGGCATGCTTATGTATTTGGTAAAAACAATGGTTTCTTGCCTTATTTCTAAGACTGCCTTGCAGTTTAATCCAGCTATTTATTGTCTGTTGGTTATTTACAATACTGGTTTAACTGGAACAGATGAGCACTGAAAATAGAAACAGAGTCCATGGTGATAAGCAGTTTATCTTTTAACTTTTTAACCGGTCTATAGCTAACTATTTTATTTTTTCTTTACATTTCTGTATTTTCCTGTTTCTATTAGCAGAAATGATCTCTTCACTCAAGCATTTCTTAGCAGTTCATAATCAGCTTAGCTCACTGTTAAGTCTGAATTCTCAGTAGGGGCTCATTGCTATTTAAAACACTTATGTACTTTTTAGTCAGGTAATTGTACCTATTGGTGGAATCACTTGATACTGGTGCTAATCTGTTGTGACTGAGACCATTAGCAGCATTGCAACTGGTGATATAATAATAGTTTCACATTAAATAAATAAATAAATAAATAAATAAAACACATGCACTGGACTGCACAATCATTTCATATCTTTTTTGACAAAGTTAATTTGGGTATCTGCAGTTAAATAGTATTTTATGTTAATAAACCTGAGGCAGCCATAGCAAAGCAGTAGTAATGCTCAGCTGGACCACAGGTTTAGGCATAGTTGGAAATTGTTTTTAGTGAGGATGATAAAGTCATTTTCAGTTTAGGAAACTACAGTAAAGATAAAGTTTATTTTTATGATTTTACATAAAATTATGTAGTGTTTTTTCTGTTTCCAGAATGTCATTTTATAATTTTTGTTTTATTTATGGAGTTTTATATTTATATTTTTTGTTCGTATATGTTTTGATTCCTTTGCAATGATTCGTGGATTCACAGAGGAGATTTCAAGTGATGAAGAGGAGGCGAATGTAACTGCTCAAGCAATGCAGTCGAATAATGGAAGAGGTGAAGATGAGGAGGAAGATGATGACGACTGGGATGAGGAAGTATTGGAAGAAACTGCCCTTGAGGGATTCAGCACTCCACTTGACCTTGACAATAGTGTGGATGAATATCAGTTTTTTACCCAAGCTCTGCTAGGTATGTTTTTACTCCTTAAATCTTCACATATTTTTCTCTAAACCCTTTCTTCTTTTCCCATTAGAAGTTTTGGGATCTTTTTACTACATGAACTGTTCACCAATTTTGTATAGCAAAGGACATTATGAATACAGTTAAGGAGTCATAGAAGATGGCGAGAAAATATTTACCTCATATCATATATATTGTATCATATCATATATCGTATCATATCATAGGCTTTATTACTACATATCATAGGCTTAAGATCTACAGTTAACAGAAACCTTCTTCAAATCAGTAAGACCAATAACCCAGTATAAAAATGGGAGCTATAAATGGAAAATATATAGAACTAAAAATAAATAATAAATCAATGAAAATGTTTAGAAAATTGTAATTGGAAAAATTTTATTAATACAGATACTGTGTTTTATAGTTACATAGTATTCCTGTGGTTGTACCATAATTTATCTCCACTGATGCACATATGAATGTTTCCCAGGTTTTTTTGCTGTTACAAGCAGTGTTAAAGTGAACATCTTTGTGTCTAAAAGTATTGTGTCCAACATGGCAATGATAATGTATTGGCATTATTTAGTCTTGCTACAAATACTCCTAATGAAGGTAAAACCACCTCTATGTTTCATTGAAAGTTAGCAGGAACTAGAGAGTACAGGGAAGGCCGGCCGTTCCAAACTCGGGGAAACGGAACGTAAATGTGGAGATGGGAATAGGGGGGGTGTTTGCCTCCAGGCATGCATGTGCCTCATAATCAGCAGAAGCTTTTAGGTCTTGGGTGGGGTCTTGGAATATATTTTAAAATGCTTGAGTGCCGGGCAGTCATCTTTGGATCAGTATTTGATAGAAAGAAGCACATAGTTGAGATTCTGAGAAGGCAGCATAGAATTGGGTGTGGAGAGGACATGGTTAAGGATATTAGGGCTGTACGTACAGTGGTTGACTAGGAGACTAATAGAACTGTGATGGAAATAGGGAGATAAAGAAGGCTTGGGAGGTGAAGTGGTAACTTTAGTTTTAGTTGTGCTGACATTGAGGCACAAATCTTGCCTCAAATTGAATTTTGAGTTATTGGTGTAGGTGCGATACTGAAGCTGCAGGCAGAGTGAGAATTCTGGAGAAAAATGGTAACAAGTGGGTATAGGTATTTTCCAAGATCTGGATTTTAGGGAGCGTTCATAGTAAAACCCTAGGGAGAAGGTGAAGGAGGCAGAGAACTAGGAAAAGCAGAGGTTTTTCATATCCAGCTTCCTTTTCTAGCCCCACACGGTTGGCTACTGACGGGATGCTCAGAAATGATCCATTGCTGGAATAAGTTCCATCACCTTGCATTTGTCTGTATTTTTGTCTCTTACTATCTGTGATCATTTCATTGTAATTTGATCATGTCATTATTATTCTCTGAAATAATTTTCCCTGGGCTCTCTTATCTTTTCCTCCTCCACCTGCCCTCCCCCCTCCAAAATGCCACAGCTGTGCAGAGTCGGGACGCCGCCTGGTACCAGGTGCTGATGGCCCCGCTGAGCGAGGATCAGAGGCGCGCTCTGCAGGAGGTGTTCACACTGGCCGAGCACCGGAGGACGGTGGCAGGTCAGATTAGAGTGCATGTGTCCACGTGCCAAAGTCAGCCTGACTTAACAAGCCTGGTGGCACTTATATACTGTTTTTTCAGTTGTTAGAGGCCAACCTTTCAAGATAATAAGGCCTTACTATTGTGTGATCTTTTTAATCACTTGTGGTACCTTAGCTGTACAAAACACTGTGCATCAATATATGTCTTTTAGTGATAGCGTCGTTCACATCCTCATCTTATTTTGGAGCTAAAGGTAAGACGGAAGGGTTGGGATTAGTCTTGCCGAGGGGAACTTAGTCAGCTGGATCTCGCTCCCAAACACCTTGAGCACAGAGGAGCAAAGGCACCTTGAGTTCTCGCAAGGAGCTTGTATTCCTGGAAATGACTCTCCATTGCTCTTTGTTGGGCTTTACATATTGGTGATTCTTGTTGATTTTTGGGTTTTGAGCTGGAGCCATTATTCTACATAATTATTTGACATTATTATGGTCACTCCTAGAAAATCAGTGGAAAAGATTTTGTGATTACAAGAATATTTGTGTGGGAGACATCATGGAACAGGCATCTGGAGTTTAGAACCCGTGCTTTTTTCATTGACTTAGGTTCTTGGTCCCGCACAGGTGCCCTTCCTGGCAGGAGAGGTCTGGGCATCCTTTCAGCAGGAGAGACCATGGAGTTAGTGGAACTCAGCTTTGAGGCTTGTTTTCAGTTTGCTCATTGTTAGCAAATGGTTTTTCCACCATGGTAAACATTCTTTCTCATTGACACAGTCTGTTAAAGGCTAGTGGTCTGTAGGGCAGGATAATTAATACCACGAGTGATGTTCCTTCACAGTGCAAAGTATAAAGAATCTGCCTCCTTTGAGGCTATTTCCAGCTTTGTCACCTGAAATACTCTTCTCTTTTTTTCCCCTTTCTCTTGGCAAATGCTAGAGGCAAAGAAGAAAATTGAACAACAGGGAGGCTTCACCTTTGAGAATAAAGGAGTCCTCTCTGCGTTTAACTTTGGGACTATGCCCAGCAACAACTGAAAGATGGAATATCAACCGACCAAGATCAAGCGTCAGCGGGATATTTCTCTTGGCCAGGGGAATGCGGGCGTCAAGGGGAGGGAGGGCTGGAGTGGCCAGGTGGTGCCCCGCTGCTGTGCTAGTTACTGCCTGGCAGAGGGCAGTACTTTTATCCACTCTCACCTCTGACCTTCCTCACCCCGAAATATGTATTTTAAGCAGCTACTGTATGAAATTAAAGGAAAACATAATCATTGGACTGAAAAGGACACATCATATGCTTTAAAGGATGAACGACCAAGGTGGTTTAGCGGATTGGATTAATTGCACGTCTCAGGTTTTTGCCACGCAGAATCAGTGGATTTGTGCGGATAACAGTGCCTTCTGTTGTACATGAGTTATCTGAAAACATTTTTTTGGAGTGCGTTGCGATTTTTTTTAAAGCATAAAACATATTTCTAGATATAATGTAAACCTTGGTGATATGTTTGACTTATTCTGCATTTTACTATGTGAACTTACTGTTAGGCAGTTAACTACAAGTCACTCTGGTTTCAAAAACATCACCACTCCCCTTGCTCACCCGGCTGCTGGGGCTTTCTTCAGGGGCTGTAACATGTGCACTGGCTCTGGGTTCTCATTGAGCTGTTCTGTGGCTTTCCTAGTAGTGTCTTATTTCCTCTTCCTTCGTGCTTTTCAGCCCTGAAAGGGTGGTATTTCTTTTGGAGTCAGCAGATATGAGTATCAGTGTCACTCATAACCTGGTAAGTTCAGGACTCAAAAATTCTTGGCAGGGCTCTGTTTAGTCACTGGAATTAATAAGCTCAAGTGTTTTCTGAATCATGTATTTGATTATGCAATGAATTGACCATTATATGAAAGCACATTGAACTTCTAGGAGAAAGGTGCTACATGAGCACATTGTCTTTCTGGGCGGGGGCTTGCATGTTTAATAATTTACCATTCCAGCTCTATTAGACCTGGGGCCAAAATATTTTGTAACAATGGTTTTTATCTAGGAAAAAGACCCAAATCTAACTTCGTGCATTCTCATACATCTGAATTTCCTCCTGCCTGATTCATTCTAGTCTTCATTACAGCTCACGTTATAGCCCTTATGTTTTTCTGAGTTGGCGCCATCAGTCGGCCGCACTCTTAGATGGTACTAATGTGATGTGGCCCATCCGAAGGATTGCAGATGGAAGTAACAGCTGTTTTTCTGAGCTGATTCAGGACCAGCACATGGTGATCATAGTGCTTTCATTCAGTAAAGTGGAAGTGTATTTTCAGAACTTGATCTGTTACTGTGTGTGGTACGGTTTTCCGTTTTTGTGAAATGTCTGCAGCTTGTGTGCCCGTCAGTGACTGGAGGAATTTTCTCCAGGTGCTCCTGTCGTACCATCTCTTACTAATGCTAACTTGCTTTAGAATTTCAGGTTATTTCAGTAGTTTTTACAGGAGTAGTCTAAGAAGTTATGGGTTTCAGAGTTGAATGATCCTCTGATTTCCTCTGTCCCTCTGTTCCCAAGGCACTGAGGGCGAATGTGCCAGCTGGTGGCCAGAAGAGAACAGTGGCATTGGGGGACAGTTTAGCTGTCTTAAGCTTTGAAACTCTTCTTATTCTACCCCTGCCCCACACCTTTTAATTTTAACCTAAATAGTATGCCTTCACACTGGACTGTAAAAGGCACGTGACTTTTATTTTGTGAGGTATTGTCTTCTGCAGTATGAAAGGGAAGTAATGTTAATGTGTATCATCCTATCTTGTTTTTGAAGCCAGGGTAGTTGTGTAATTTTGTTACCAGCAGTGCTAACCTGAATGTGATCTCTTTACTTGGGAAATGCAGGAACTTCCATGAATGTACTGTAAAGTAAAATGCGGACTGATTCCAGGATGCTGAACTTTCCTGTGTGTAATGATTTCTGGAATGTGGAGTTTTGTTGAAACGTGGCGGGTGGTTAAAAGCCTGTCAGTGTTTCCCTGACTAACTGGAGCAAGGTGGCCGTTGGTCTGGGAGGGTGAGCAAGATGGAAGGAACAGGTAAAGGGTGGGGCGTCGCCCTGGCTGGGTGGCACAGTTGGTTGGAGCATCGTCCCATACATTAAAAGATTATGGGTTCGATTCCCAGTCAAGGCACATACTGAGGCTGTGGGTTTGAGCTCCAGTTGGGGGTGCGTATGGGAGACCACAAATTGATGTTTCCCTCTCGCCTTGACGTCGCTCTCTCTCCCTCTTCCTTCCTTTCTCTCTCTCAAAAAATAAAACAAAATAAACATATCCTTGTGGGGATAAAAAAAATGGGGCATGGTTGGGAACGAGAACCCGTCTCATCAACCAGGACGTCTGTGTGAGTGAGACGGAAGCTCTGAAAAACCAAAGGTCCTTTCCACACCAGTCCCAGGAGGGAATAGGAGAGGTGCTCAGACTGGGTCTATTTTCTCATGGGCTTCACGTCAAATTAGGAGCCGTGAAGACTGAGTGGAATGGTAACTGCTGGCCTTGGATTCTGAAATACTCACCTAGTATGACAGTAAGCTCCTCTCCCCACTTACAATTTCTGTTAAGACTACGTGGAATAATAAATTGTTGATCAGGGAAAATTCCTAAGGTAGAAAACAGTTAAATTATGTTACTTAAGTAATATAGTGAATTACAGTCCAGTTTTCTGTTCAGCAATTGAGACTGAAAACTGTAATAAATTCATCAGGAAACTTGGCTGCGTGAGCAGAGACCACCAAAGTCTGTGTGTGTGCGCACACGCACTCCTTACACGATAAACTTCCTGCCCGTTTCACACTCGCCATTGAGGTCAGTGTGCCAGGGCCACTTGGGCAGTGCACTGGTGGGTAAGGCCACGAGATCAATGAGCAGAGGGTTGGACTCTGCTTCCGGAAGAAGCACCACCTGAGGGCGACTGAGGGGGAGAGAGGCGTGAATGAAACAGCGGTGAGTGGCCGGCCCCAGGAGAGTTGGGCTGTTGTGGAGGAAAGGGAGTTCGAGGCTCTGCCATTGATGGGAGAAGTGGATGAGTGAGTGCCCACGCTCTCCGGTGGGCACACAAGAAAACGGGCACCTTGGATATCACCAAACTTGAAAATTACACAAGTGGATGGGTGCCGAGAGGGTTTGCGATTTGCAGGCGGTGAAGGGCAACTCAGGTGGGAGTGACCTTATGGAGCCTTCTTCCCAAAGGACCTCGGGTGGGGAAAAGCCAAGGAGGGTGAGAATACACAGCAAGGCCTCACGGGCAGCTTTCAGCCGTGGCCCAGTGTCCCTCCCACACAGAGCTCTTCTCGGTTTAGTGCGACCTACCTTTCCTCCTACCCAGTGAGTGAGGACAGTGCCCGCCTTATTCTTCCTTTCTCATCATTTTCTCCCAGGAGCTGGTGCAGCTTGACCCGCACCCCCACTGATTTCGGACAGCCTGACTCCTCCCTCCGTAGCATGTCAGGGGTTAGAATCCTGTCAAAGTGGGTGAACTCTGACCTCAGCATGAGCTGCTCCTTTTTGTTTTTTGTTTCACCTTGACTTGCTCATTGATTATAAGTTTGAGGGCAGAGACTATGCTTTACATAGTATTTCGTGTATGTTTTGTCTTCTGTACATACCCTGGACCTGGTGGCCAAGCATAATGCCTGTAAACAAATGAATGTGCATTTGAGGTTCTGCCAGTGAAGTTGGAATTTAGAGGCATCTCTGAGGCCTCAGATAAGGTGTTCGAGTCGGGGAGTTCCTGGTTTTAGGAGAAAACAAATTTGCAGCAGCAGCAGCTGGATGGTGAAGTGGGTGTATGCCTCTGGAGGCGAGACGTCGCCTGTGGCCCCTGCTGGCCTTCCCGTGTCTAAATCCAGTGCACGGGTCTTTTACTGGTTGTTTTTTGTGCAGCAGCATTCCAGGCTGTCGAGTCCCCTCTTTTTCAGACCCTTCTTCCTTTAATTCCCATGACAAAAAACCCTTTTCTCCTAACTCCAGCAGTTTCTTTCCTTCCTTTATAGGCTCATTATCCTCTACACAATTTTAAGAGCCTATTTATTTATTCATCAGATATTTGTTTTACAGAAAGTCCTTCCGAGATTGATCCTGGGCTCTCTTCTAGTGTCTTGGCGTTAGTTAGCACTCCTGACCTCCGCCCCGGCATTCAGACTTCTGGAACCAAGTGCCACCTCTTGAGGGTGGCAGGCATCTCAGACTCCACATGTGCAGATGGAACTGTGTTTTTTTACCTTCTGTCTCCAACCCTGCCCTCTCTCAGCAGTTCTTGATTGGCAGTGCCAGTCACCAGACCTTGTTAGATATCTGGGTGTCCTCCTTGATGACTCCCACTTCTTCACTCCTCATACTGATTCTCTCTTATCTTACTGTAGGCCACCACCATTTCTTGCTAGAATATTCTAGTGTCCTCCAGTCTGTGATCTTACACCTGTGCTTGTGCCCTACCTCACTGCCCTCACTGATTTGCCAACGAGGCCAAATGATTTTTCAAAATGCAGATTTTGATTGTATCACTAATCTGAGACATTAAGATCTCTCACTGGTTTTTAGGATACAAATAAATCATGAAGCTGGCCCACAGGCCCTGAGCTGATATGGCCCTATTTAAACTGTCCATCCTTTGCTACTTGTTAGTGCCTTCCGGCTGCCTTTGTGCCTCCTTCCAATTCACTGGTTCTTTTCTTCTGGAAGTTCACTGATGTGATTTTTTTCCCCCTTTACTGTTTACCCAATACATTTCTCTTCACTTTCAACTTTGAACATTAATATTTTCTTAGAGACACTTTTTTGCTCTTAGGATTCCTATATGAACTTGGAATCATGTATTCCACATATAACCAAATAATTGTGCAATATAATCTTCTTGAGAACCAAGTCAACGTCCTACTTATTACAGAAACCCAGTACCTAGCATAGTGCTTGGCTTGTGGTGGTTTTATTTTCGGAGGCCTGTGTGATCCAAAACCCTCTCGAAGGAAGACTTCCTATAGCTAAGTTGCAGGAGTCGGTTGGTCTTAAAATATCCCACTCAAAAAAAAATATCCCACTCAAAATTGAATTATTTGCCTAGTTGTAGTCAAACAAACATGTAAAGAAGGCCAACAATTTCGTCTCCCCTTGATCTAGTGATGTTTAAACATTTGTTCAACATTTATTTGGCAGAGTCAGGGAGAAATTGATTTATTAATAAAACTTGTATTTTCAAAGTAAGAAATGTATGCATTTATCACACAGTTTTCCAAACATATAACTAAGTTTCGATCATCCCCAATAACCCAAACTACACATTCAGTTCATAATTTTTTAGTCCCTGAAGCACTCGTGTCAGACAACCTTCGGCTGGGTGCTCTCAGGAGTGGGAGCGTTTTTGCATCTAACAGACCTTCCAACCCTGGTAGATACCAGCAAGTAGTGTTCATTTCTGCACGAAGGAGTGGCCTACTTTGGTGGGAACACAGCAGTTTTCACATCACTAGCCAAGTGAGGAGTTGCTCCCCAGGGCCACAGCTCCAGCGCGTCCAGTGAGGTCCGAGCGCCCCTTGCAGCTGGTACCCAGGCCACTCCATGGCTGGCCAGCCCTCCCCGGGGCTGTGGTTGGGCACCAGGGCCAGACATTCCCTGAAGTCAGAAACAAGCAGGTCGTTGACTCTCCCAGTGTGCCTGCGGCTGACAGGCTCTCAGCCTCTTTCAACCCAGGTTTAAAGACTATGGCACTTATTATATGAAATGTTAAAGGGACTTATCTAAGAAAAAGAAATAAAAAAACATGAACAGTGAAAGGACAGCAAACTCACAGTTATTAACAACCACACCTAAAACAAAAGCAAATTAAAAGGACAGCTAGATCAGGAGTGGAAACATAGAAATGAAGATCTCAAGGAGGGTTAGCAACAGGGGAGTGGGAGGAGAAGGGGGGAGAAGGTACAGAAAATAAGTAGCATAGACAGTAGATAGAAAATAGATGGGGGGGCAAGAATAGTAGGGGAAATGTAGAATCTAAAGAACTTGAGACACATGGTCATAAACTAAAGGGGGGGTAATGGTGGGGATGGGGGTAGGGTGGAGGGGAATGAAGGGGGGAATAAGACAACTGTAATGGTATAATCAATAAAAAAAAAGAGGTTAAAAAAAGACTATGGCAGAACCTAGACCTGTTGCATTGCCAGGTGCTGCTGCTTCCCTTCCTGTTCTTTCATGATCCTGTCACCTTACATCGACCTCACCTGGGCTTGTCCTTTGGCTGGGTTACAGGCTGCAGGAAGCAGAATAATGACACCCTCCCCCTACCCTGAAGATGTGGAAATCCTGATCCCCAGAATTTGTGAACGTGTCACCTTACCGGGCAAAGGGGAATGAGGTTGCAGATAGAATTCAGTTTGATAAGCAGCTGACCTTAAAACAGGGAGCGCAGTGTGCTTACCAGGTGTTCCCAGTGTAATCACAGGGTTTCTTAAAGGTGGAAGAGGGAGGCAGAAGAGAAGGTCCCAGTGATACGTGAGGACTGACGCCACCATCCTGGCTAGCTTTGAAGAGGGGGGATGGGGCCATGAGCCCAAGGGCGGCCTCGAGTCACTGGCCAAAGGCTAGGATATGGACTCTTTCTGGAGCTTTCAGAGAGGAATGCAGCCCTGCCAATACCTTGACTTTTAGCCCACGTAAGACCCAGCTGGGACTTCTGACCTCTGGGACTGTAAGGTAACAAGTCTGTGTGCGTTTAGCCTTGAGTTTGTGGTCATTTTTTGCGGCACCAACAGAACACGAATACGCAGCCCTAGTGGGGGCAGATGCAGGAGTCTCAGCTATGAAGACTGAGATATTTAATTTCTAAATCAAGACCATGTTTTGCAGTATAAAGTGGTAATGAGGCCTCTTGCTACCAAAATGTGATCAGGAAATTACTGGGCCTGCT